GTTGCTGTTATCTTTTGCTAAAGTACAGCATCTTGAATGGAATTGCATAATTACTGCGATGCATATCAGATGATAGAGTTATAAATTTTATTTTTTAATTTCTTTTAAGACACATCCGAAATTCGTACTTTCTTATGCATTTATTTGGGAACATAAGTTCTTATCAGTTTGAATTTGTTATTTCGCACGCTTTTTTAAAACATATTTGAAAATCTCAGTGCAGATTTTAATATTTATTTGTTAATAAAGTTCATTCCAGCCGGAGTTTAATATTTGCAAACTTTTTAAAAGCACATTTGGGATTGGTACTGTCTCGCCATTATTTATTAACATAAGTTCAGTTCGGTTCAAAATTCAATGTTTTTAACTTTTTAAGAACACATTCAAATTTTTACTATCAGAACATTTATCTTTTAATATAAGTTCGTTACAGCAATTTTTTTTAAAAACATTCAAAATTCATGCTATATCAGCAGTCATTTGTCAATAGAAGTCTATTTTATTTTGAATTTGACATTAAAGTTTTTTTGTGCAGAACATTTTTGGCATTCGTATTGTTTCAACATTTATTTGTCAATATAAATTCGTTTCAGTTGAATTTCGATATTTTTGAATCTTTTTATAAACAAAAGAAAAAATGTAAAGTAAGAAACAATTTAAATGAAAAAAAGAGTTCGTGTTTTCAAAAAAAAAAACTTGAAATAAAAGGAAAGAAGTACAAATGTTTCACTTCAATAATTTCCCTTTTCCTCCCTGTTCTCGTATATTCTCATTCTTTTTTCTTTCATTCTTTTTTGTATAAAAATTCAGACATCTCCCAATTTTTTTCTCACTAATTTGTTTTTTCAACATTGATTTATTTTTCACTTTTTTGTTTGTTTTGATTTGTTAATTGTCCCTGAACTTACTCCTAAACTTTAATCAATCTATTTTTATTACATAATTTACATTTATTTTGAGATGATTGCAGTCGGTAAATAGTATATTAACTTTTTCTTTGTTCTCAATTAACATATTCATTCGCTATTTCATCAAAATTTTGCTCGCATTTCAAAATTGGCTACTTTATTTTGTTTTAACCGTTTATAAGTTGTTTTCTATTCTTGTTTTTGATTTTTGGAGTTCGAATATAATTTTGACAAAGAAATAAATAAAAGAAAATATGGAACAAACTGTAAAAAATATCAAATTTTTTTGAAGAAAAATCTTGCAGTTACATTAGCACTTTTTCGGATTGAAAATATAAATTTATGACATTATTGAAAAAAAATCATCACTTGTCTTTTATAAGGTTTTTCTCCTTTTGAAGGGTAATGATTATTTTCTATCTAACAATGATTATAGCAAATTTTCAAAAATATATTTAGGATCTAGTTGAGAGTTGATCCGTTCTCTTCTTTTTTTGCTTCATTTCCCTAGAGAAATAGAAATGGACAGAAAGTAGTGGTAGTTCAACATTTAATTAAATTGGTCCTTCTTTTAAAAAACAGTGGAAAAGGCAGAAGCAATGTTCCTTGCACATTAATTTAACAGAATCATGTTTATTTGCGATCGCGATAGTGATTAGGGACAACAGTGATGCGGAAATGACATATTTATCACTATCATAAATTCATTTCATTGATAATAAAAGATAAATTAGTCTTTACTTTTTTATTACTGTCACAATTTGCACATGTCTTTAACTTCACTGAATGATTTTGCCTTTCAAAAATTTCATGGATGATGTTTTAACGATTAGCATTCCTTGAATTCTTTATATTATATTCTTGTTTGTTTTAATTTTATCGAAATGTGTGCACTCAAGTTTACAAAGATTTGCTTAAAAAAAGAAGAATGGTGTTGAAAAACGTTTTATCATGAAATGGAAATGTATTAATAAGATAAATGTAAATTAAATAATGGAATAATGAAGCCAGCAAATACCACTGAAATAAGCTGTTAATAAACTATGTCATAAACTGTTAAGGGTCTTCTGTCGATATCTTTATATATTCGATTATAATTCATTTTTACTTAAGTTACATCATCTCGGATATATTGATTTAAATATATTCTCTACTTTGTAATATCTACTGCTGATAATATAAAGAACAGAATGAGACAAGATTTATATTGCAATTTATTTTGAATAAATTATTAACCAAAAAATTATAAAATCCTAATTAAAAATCAATTTTGAAAGTAATTTAATAATTGGTAATCATATAAGGATATTATAATGAACATTTAACAGCGGTTTAAAATACCATCATGTTAACAAAAGTCTCTTCTTCTTACCATTAGCATTTATTCATTCATTAACGGTCATTTTTAATCGGTCATTATTCATTGAATTATTTTTAACTGTAGTGTTTACTGCAATATTTCAAATTTAGCATAATAAATAGTTTTTTTTAATATTTTAGACGTATTTCCACACTTCCGTTTTCGCAATATGTCGGAAAGTATTAATATTAAGTCAGTTATTCGTGTAATGGATATAATTCATTTGAATTCAATATTAAAGTTACGATATGAAAGTTACAAAAAATGAAAAAAATAGCGAAATCTGATGTGATCTGATAGTAAGTTATTTGAGCAGTTAAAAGCAATTCACAATAAATATTTGACAAAAATTTCAGCATTTTAACTTATTTCTTTTATTATAACGCGCGAAACTTTTTCTAGCCCTTAATATTAATTATTTTCAAATTATTTTGATTACGCTTGTTTTTACATTGTTTTCTTAATTTACATAATAATATTGCTATTTGATTCAAATTTTCACATATTACGTAAATGTGATTCACTTAATGGTAACACCATAAAAGATTTTACAAAATTAGTGTGGAATATTTTAATAATGCTTATTATTCTGAAAAAAGGATGCAAGCCGTTATAATCTGCCCACTCATTTTATTTCATTAAATTTGACCGATTCAAAATTGAATTAGTATATTTTAATCCAATTCAGTTAAGATGTAAATTTAATAGCCAAATAAATATTTCACAACGAAGCGATTACTTTTGTAATAATTTTTTAGTAAAACAATATATTTTGCAGCAAAACAAATATTTCTATCATTTTAACAGACAAAAATTATTCATATGAGTTAATTTTACAAATTAAAATGCTTGGGACGTTTTGATCAGTTATATATTAACTTCAGTTTTTTAAAATATATTAAATATTCCACAACAACAAAATAATTATATTTAATTTTATGCATACATGCATATTATTCTCATTTTGAGATGTAAGAAGAAAAAAAGCAAAAAAATGAAATTGTATTATAGGAAAACAAACTGTTAAAAATATTGAAATATAAACGATATTATTTTGTGCACTTAATTAATTAATTAATTACAGATATGTGTATTATTTTCTTTTAGGATGTAAAAAGAAAAAAGGAGCAGAAATGGAATTGTATGAAAATGAATCATTCCCGATGCTGATTGCGCATAATGACAACGTGGTGTACTGTCTAGACAGTATTTTTACACCTGACCAGGTGGATTACCGTTTATATGGCAATTTGCCTATTTCAATATTTGGTATTCTTATTAATTTAATTAATATACTTGTCTTTTCACATGCTGATATGCGACGAAGTTTGGTGAATTTATTTCTGCTTACAATTGGTATTACTGATTTACTGTTACTCATTTTCAACTTTTTCTTCCTTCTATTCCCAGTAATTGCATTGTTTTCAAATTCTTTTGTTCTACAAGATATTTATCCCATAATACTCAGGTTTGTTCCCATTATTACTTTTCAAACCATTGTTGAGCGCTTTTTTCAACTTTTTAGTATTTTTTAATTTTGCAAATTTTTCGTCTCTGATAAATTATTCATTCATTACAATCTTCTTTCTAAATTTTGAAATGTTTGAAAAAATGCAAAGTTTCAGCATCACTTTATTGTTATTATTATTATTAATGTTAATTGTTATTATTACCGATATCAATATTAATTTTTGAACGAGAATCAATTTAAACATTCATTTAATAAGACCACTAAAAAGAATTCATTTCATAAAAATAACGGAAATATGTATTAAAAACTGAACAAATGAATTAACAGCAATATAAATTATTATGCAAATTGAAATTTGATTTTTTTCCCACAAAAGTGTTGGTAGCAATAAATGAAAAAATGAACCATTTATAATACAAATAATTTGCAGTATAAAACTTCAACAAACTTGCAAAATTGACAGCTAACAAATTTAGCAATGAATTTTTGATTAAAAAAATTAAAGTATCCTGAACAACAAAATTGAAATTAATTGGGTTAGAAACAAAAGAAAACGAAAGAAGTTGAATTTAACTTCAAAATTTATAAATTTCAGCCGCCCTAGGTGTTAAATTACGTTAAAGCAAATGAAGTACAATTGCTGAGGATAAATTTTTTTATGACTTTATGGCTAAGTTTCTTAAAAACTTTGATAATGAATTTTTAATAAAACCTTGATACTGAATTTATCTTTGATAATTTTCTGATGTATTTGTATTCAGAAATAACCAAATTTTCCATAACTGAAAATTTTTTTAAAATAGTATTAGAAAGATTTTATTGGAAAGAAACAATAATAAATTGATTGAATAAAAACCAAAAAAAAATTTGATGAATTTCGGGAAAAGCTTATTGGAAGTGCTTTTCGTTTTTGTTTCATTTTTTCCTATTCAATCTTATTTAATGTTAGTTGAAAAATATTATTTGAAACAATTTCGTTAAAAACAACATTTGAAGCATTTCTTGAGGGTGCAATTTCATAAATCAGTGAAGTTGCAAGAAGATCAGAGAAGTTTTTGCTTTTTAACTGAAGAAGAAAGGAAGAAGGAATGAACATCTTAATTAAAAAGAGAAATGATGAGATTTTTTTGAATTCAATTTCATTTTTATGCAGACTTTCTGAATAAACAAAAATGAAGTTTTGAAGTTAAAGCAACAATGTTCACAAAATGCGAAAAGTAGAAATCTGCTGTGCACTTAAAAATAATGTTAAAAAATACCAATTGTTTAAATTAAAAAATACAAGAAAAAACGAACAAATTCTAAATATATAATTTAAATTAATTAAAGTGAATACTTTGATGCCAAAATTTAGATGTACAATTAGCCCATTTTTGCTAATAATTTTTAAATCTTTTTTTAGAAAGTGGGATAATGAGACTTTTATAAATAACGATTAACTTTCTGTTGAAAAGATGTTTGTATCATATATTAACGATAATGTCTCAGATTGATACTCAAATAAGTATTATTTCAGGTTTAGTTATCCGTTGGCGAGGATCGCACAAACATGCGGTGTCTATTTGACCTTATTTGTATCGGTACATCGTTATCTCGGTGTTTGTCATCCATTTCAAGCAAAACGATGGATTACAGGGTTGGTTTCCTTTTCTCTATTTATCAATCAGAAAAAAATTTTATTAATGCTACAGTAAATTAAGGTATTGATGTTACAGTACGTAGTTAAAATTGTTTAGTTATTTTTCCAAAGCATTTCTTTTAATCATATTTCAACTCATAAGTTGCTTTTTTAAAGATTGGTTAACTTCATGGATAAAATATGTTGAGAGATATTACAGGAGTGAAATTTCATAATTCATATTCTTGAATCGTATGAAAAATGCAAAACAAACAGAATACTTTTCAATATTCAAGCATTTCAAACAAGAAATTTTAATTCTTCTTAATTTGTAAATTCTACAGATGCAAATTTCCAGAACACAACGCTAATTGGTTTATTTCAATTTATTTGTTTGTTTTTTGGAAACTATTTCAATAAAGAATGACTGAAAGCTTTACCACAAAATTCTCAAAAATTCAGAGCTCAACAATTCATCTTTTTAACACATATTTATGCATATGTATTTGAGGGAATAAAACTGGCCTGCTAAGTACATCGCCATAAAATACTTAGATTTGCAGAGCCCTTATGGAGGTGCATGCTTATTTGAAGAAAATATGAATTGAAATCACATTGTCAAATACTTTGTTACAGAATATTTTTTCTATAAATACTGTTTGTTCCTTATGTAAATTTTAGTGTAATTCTGCCAAATCAAAATAAAATAAACCATTGAATTAATTAGAATATCAAATTATTACTTTCTGATTAGACTTCGCAGTAGTAAGAACATATGTATAGGAAGAAATGGATGCGAAAAAAGAATGAAATTAAAAATTACACATTGCAACCAATAAAAGTGAAAAAAAGAAATAAATTTATCTATTTTTAGATAAACCTTAGAAATTACAATATTACTAAGAATAAAATAATAGCAATGACAATAGTAATAACAGAGCGGTTCCAAACACGCAATGCATTTAGTTAATAATAATATATAATTACAAAATTACTTGCAATTCTAATTGTTTAATTATTTGCTGTAATTTTTCCATTGATTGCAGCGCTTTAATTGATAATGTGGAACTTCGGAATATTTTGAAAAAAAAGCTAAAACAGCTTTACTTTGTTTGAAAGAACTAAATGCTATTTTTGATTTATTTAAAAATTCCTCTTTTTCTCGTCTTCTGTTTTTCTGATCATTTGAACAAAAATCTGGAAGAAACAATGAACTATTTGAAAGATTTTTTCTTTGCTTCTCTTTTCGTCTTAAAATTTTCATTTCAACTGAAGCTAGTAAATTTCCATGCACGTTAACACATTACATCTAACTAATTTTTATATTTACTTTTTTGATTTTTTCATTTTCCAACTTTCAATTCACATGAACTTGTAATATTTCGATGCATATTCGTTTATATCATTTCTCTCCCTTAAATGTTTTTTTATTTTTTTAGGAAACCTGTAAAATGCGCTATTTTTGGTTCCGTTGTATTTTCGTTTCTCATTAATGTGACAACATGGCTTGAACTTACTGTTGTTCCATGTTATAGCAAAGAATTTCATCGATTCTCAAGGTAATCCACCAAAAACTTGTATTATTTAAAAAAATAATTACTTTCTTCTATCTTCTTTAAACTGGAATTAAACTTTTTTGAAGCTATCAAAAATCAGGTGGAGGAATTATGTTGTGATACGAATTGAAATCAGTATTTGATGAAGTAAAATGTATGAATTTAATATTGCAATGATGCGATTTGGTTCAAATGTGCGTAGTTTCCACATGGTCTTTTTTTAGTGTTAAAATTTATAGAAAGTGAAGTGAGTTTTATAGGCATATTCAACTTACCGAATTACAAATGGATTATACATACGGTATTGTTATGAAAGTCATTACTTATACATTGATTATGTTCATTTTTCCATTTCTTATTCTAATTATTGTCAACACACGCATCGTTCTTGCTTTGAGACGTAGTACAAATATGCGAACTTTACATACCAGTCGAAAATCACTTTTATCCAAGACAAATAGCAGGTATATGATCTGTATTTCCTGGAACATTCATTCTCATATATGGTTTTATGTTTATGAAATCTCAAAAATTAAAGAAAAAATGATGGAAGAATTTACTTTCGCGTCTCAGATTAAAATTCATGAGTGATTATTTAACGACCAATTTTCCTTTTTTTAATCCTAACTTAATTTATATCCCAGAATAATTTATGGCTTATTAATCTATTTGAAGAAAATTTAAAAACATAAGCATTTTATAGAAAAATTTAATTTTAGCCAAAAAAATAACCAAAATGAGATGGCAGTAATATTAAATCCATCATATACAACCACAGCTTTACAATTCTCATCAACAAATTCTACCTTGTAAAGTTTAATTATCTCAATTTTCATTCGGGTTTCAATAATTGAAGTTGATATGAAAAATAGATTATGTGAAAGATGTTTCACTAAACCACAAAATTTTTGTAAAATTTCATCTCCGGTATCGACTGATCATCTAATGGAATTGGAATGAAACCTTGGAAATACTTTTCTCAATAGATATTTGCAGCTTTCGCCCGACAGTGCCAAGAGCGGCTAAACCAGTAATGAATTTTAATTCATCAGCTCGTGACCGCTCAGTGACATTGATGCTTTTGGCTATTGTTGCTATGTTTCTGACTTGTAATGGTCGGTTTTTCTATGTTTCATTTTAAGTTTAGGCTTGGAAAAGCTTGGTTGCTTTCATACTATAAAATCTGTACACCCTAAAGCACAAACGTTGTGAAAATTCTACTATTTCCTCTTTCTTTAACGAGCATTTTTTACTCTCGTTAAGTCAAATAGATATATCTTTCTTACTTTAATAAAATTGAAGCTAATAATTAATTAAATTCGACATTTTTCTTCTGTTCATTCGCATGTCGTTGTACAACAATAAAGTTTGATTTTTCAGAAAAATGTTTGAAAGGGCGATAACATAAACTGATATTTAAGGAAGTTACTAAGGTTTTCAAACTTGTATTTTTTAAATTAACATGAGAAAATGAAAATTAAACACAGTTTCCTCTATTAATGTGTACTTAGCAATGATTTACAGGCTTAGCATTTTGCAACAATATCATCGAAATTTTGATATTTGTGGATAAGATCGATAGCAGTGAAAATGACAGTGCATTTGAAAAAAGTGTCGAAATTGCCAACATTTTAGTTTCCTTGAATTCATCGACATCCATTTTCATCTACCTCAGCTTCAGCTCTAAATATCGTGTCATTGTGAAGGAATATCTTGGTCTAAAAAATGCTGATAAAGTAAGATCATTTTAGCCTTTAAGCTCAAGATAAACTTTACGGGATGATATCATCTTCAATGATGAATGAATTTGAGATGCAGAACAACACATTTCATAATCCAATATTTTTCATTGAACTGTGCCAAGTTCTTTTATTGTTACTTATAATAAAAATATAAAATTATTCATCTTAATCGAAAACTGTTTTTTGTTATGCCACGTTCGTTAATCACAATTCAAGAGCTAGAAAACCGAATAAGAATCGTGTTGCGACTTAGATAAAATAAGTAAGTAATTCAATAGGTCAATTAACCATACCTTAAATTGAAGATTTAAAATAAACTGAAAAATTTAACACAAATCTTCACAGGATCCCAATTCAGAACTGAGTATGAGTTTTTTTTAATCACTTTTGCAATAATTCATCCATTATTTTACTTATTAACAAATATTTATGTATTCTTCATCAAAAGATTTTAATGCAGTTTTAAAATAATGAAAAAAGAAGCTATCATGTTTAATGTCGTGGAATGACAATTTATTTTTCTCTAAAGACGAAAAGTTGAAGGAGTTTCACTATTTGCAGGCACACAGTGGAACGCTAACAGCGGCAGCTATCGCAGCACGACATACATTCGAATATCCGTTTGTTATGAGGAATGAGATATCCCCGAGGGGATATTTGTGGAATTTGGCAGGACCTCGTATATGTGCCCTATTTCGCTGTACTTCTTTCGCACAAGCAGTTGGTAAAAATAATGCTAGCTGAAGGAAATTAGCATTGGACGGGTAACTTCGTTCCAATAAATATTTCTAAATTTCGTCCTTTGTTAACTGAACATTCGCAGATATTCCATCTTCACAAGGTAATATAACATATAACTAATTCACATCAAAGCACTTTCCGCATACTTCCATTTTACGGTTGAAAATTTGGAAACGGTAAAAAATTATTCTTTATTTAGATCTATCTTGTCATAAAGAATAAACGATCTGGAAAGCTCTAAAAGGCTAAGTTTTATTAGACCAATTGTCTCATCACAAAATTTAACTTGATAAGAGTGTGCTTGAACACTTTACAAAAAGCCGTGCCAACAGTAGGAAAAAAACTTTTAAATTAATCCATGAAATTATTCGACAAAAAATGAATCGATCGATGTGAAACAATCCAGGAAAATACACATGAACTTAATAATAAAACTTGAATAAAATTGAAAAGATTTTCTTCAATTTTTTGGAAAAAATACATCATAGATAGACTTATTCTTATTACTTAATTAATATCCAGTATACTCTACTTGCTGATATAATAATGTGGTCAAATATTCGACATTGTATAAAAAACAGAAGAACATTAAAAACTTTTTGTGATTGTCGGTAAATTTTCAATCAAAGATTTATAAACGTTCATATTGAAACTTTACTATGCTGCTTTTACTCGATGCAGAGAAATTCTACCGCTCCAGTAATTCCATCATTTCTATACACAAAATTTATACATCAGAATTGCTGTACCCGTCAAAGATTGCAATTTGCTAATATTCACACTATCTTGCTAAGCCGAGTTAACTTAACTGTAATTAATTTGACTTTTTCGTATATATTTTTTCGACTTGTTTGAAAATTTCAGGACAAATATGCAACATTAATATCACCGAATATTAACTATCAACCATTCATTTACATAAAAATATATGCTTTTAAAGCAATATAGGAGTTAAGAACTTGAAATTTACACAAGTGTGGTGACATGCGTTTTCCATATTTAATAAATATTCCCAAATTTGAAAATTTTTTCTTCTTCGTCATCTAGTAAGGTAAGCAAATATGTCAATTACAACAATCTCCGATTTAACATTATTCCTAAATTTAAATTTCTCCATTTAAGTTATTGCAAAATGAATGAAAAATATTACTAACTGAAAATTTCGAACCATATATTGATTCGATTTCTATGTGAGTATCAATTGCTCCTTGTAAATTACTCATTCATCCCATTGACAATTTGAAAATTTCTGAGGTATTGAAGGAAAAAATTTTCCTGAAAGAATTCTGTCGAAAATTTGTCGTAAAAACTAACACATTTCAGTTTCAGTCAATTTATCAGCAAGAGTAAATAATAATATAAGCACAAAAAATCGATATAAATTAAGATATAAATTTAAATAACAAACATAAAACAAACGGATAAATAAGCAAACATTTTAAAATGACAAGTAGACAATAAAAATGGCAAATATAAGACTAAATATGAGAATAGGAAAAGTAGCAAATAAAAATGGTATGCAAAACAAAAATGAAGAAGTGAAGGGTGAATAATGAAATTCAGCAAATAAGTTAAGAAATGAAAATTTCCTTTCTTGGTTAAAAAGACGAAAAATTTTGAAACATAAAATTTTTCCCCTTCATTCGAGCAACGTGAAGTAGTAAGAAAGAAGAAAAGTTTGTTGTGAAATCAGAGAGTGAATAAAATAATCCAACTTACGGTGCCACGATATGAAATGCTATGATAGATTGCCTACCACAACATAATTCCTCTCCATATGACAGTTATAAGTGAAGTACTTTAGAAAATCGAAAAGTATCACACAAGTAAGTACCATATGCACAGCGGTACCACATATCCCAAAATGTCCCGCACTCCTGTACAGTCCATCCCAACTTTTATTTTAGAAATCGCACCAATTTTCAATATTGCTTTTATGTATTGCCTCTAACTCTTCCGGCAGTTACCTGTGCCTGACCTGCAGCAATGTTTCAATAATCTTGATGGTACCTATGGTAAAACCTAAGTTATAGTGACAACACCTTTTATAAAACTGCCTAAATTGGCCCCTTTCAAGTTGTTATGTCAGAATCTGCGATTGTAGTAGTATCTGGATTCTCTGTAATAGCTTTGGTGATTCTTATGGAAGAATCTATAATGTGTTGGTATCTTTGTTAAGGTTCTGTGAAGTGAAACCTGTGGTTGTAACAGTACCTGAACTGTAATGACGGTACCTTTGATGGTGCTTCTTGGTATCATGTCCATAGGTGCAGTGGCAGTAACGTTTTTTGCAGCGAGGTGCTGCCTTGAATGCTGTTCGACACAGTTAATTGGTTGTAAGCATACATATCTTCCTTCCTATCTGAAATATGTTCACAGTCTTGATTAATCAAAATTTGCATATCTGGAGAGGAAACATGCTCAGTCTCGATCGTCAATGGCTCTAACTTTCCCGATGCTATCTAGCTACCTTCATTATCGCCTATTGCTTGTTTCACCGGTTGCTATCTGCGAGGAAGGTTTGTTCAATTTTAACTTTTATCTTATATGCAAAAAATCAGAGTTATCCGGTTGTTAATTCCAAAAAGGTTTGTCCTGTTCTGCTTTTATCCTGCATACAAATAACTTTTAAATGGTCAAGTTTTTCAAAAACATACTTTTTCCGAAGGCAAATTATAATTTTCTTCAGGCAAGATTATTCCAGTTTTCTTTGCAAAAGAATACAACTCAGACTGTTTCAAAGACAACTATATCTCGATAATCTGAAATCAAGAGTTAACCGGTTTTCCGAAAGAAGAATTTGATCAGGTTTTTGAGAAGAAAAATTAAAATTTCTGTAGAACTGATTCTATTTCCGCAAAAAAATTAAATCCTACAGAAGCAGCGTTATGTGCGATCGTTTCGTTTAATTTAGTTTTCTTTAAACAAGTCAAATTTTCTTTTCTTATCAAAAAGTCGGATTTTCCCCAAGCAGAACCGCAGTCCAATTTCCCTCATAAAATTTCAGTACAGTTTTCTTTGGGTTGAAACAAATTCGATTTTTCCGAAAGAGTATCCATTCTACTTCCTTTGATATGCAGTCCGATTTCGTTTATTCTTTAGAATCTGAGCTCAGGCCACTCGTTCCGCGGCCAATCAGTTGTCCCTGATCCATGTTTTAAAAATTCTCATTGCTTGGTGCTAAATGTAAAAAAGGTCTGAGGTCCAGAATCTTTTGCATATCCTTTATATCCATTAGTTTGTAATCATTATCACTGTTTTTGTTATGTTTTAATTGTTAAGACAAAAATTGCTCCGTATGAAAAAGCTCATCCGTCTGATATTCAATTATTTAAATTGTAATTGAAAACAAAAATTCAATTTCTGAACACGTATCAATGGCTCAATTTCTCCAAGCTTTCATTTTCTACATCGTAAAGATTCTTCTCATCTTCCGCAGAATACTTACAATTTTGAACTCAAAACTCTAAAGATTCTCTCATCATTTTTTTACAGCTATCAATGGCTTATAATAGTCAACAACAGCAAGCATCCGCATCTGCAAACGATCATAATATTATTTCCGATGTTGATAATCATCCGTTGTCATCAGACAGCAGTAGCAATGTAAGTTATTGTTAGTATTGTTCTATTCATCTATAGGAAAACTTTAATTAATCAATTTAACTTTTTTTCCTCGATGTAACAATAATTTTGAGCAAAATCCTTCAGACTGTTGATATAAGTAAAATTTTAAAAGTCAAACTGGTTAGTTGTATATATGGATGAAAAATGTTTATTTGCTGAGTGACTGTTTTTATTAATCATCTTTTATTGAATTTTGTATTATTAGTAATCAATTTAGCGATTATTTTTTCCAAGTTTTGAAGTTTGAAAAGATACAATCTTAACATACAGGACTTGCTCCCATTGAAAGAATAAAAATTTACCTGACTTATAAGCAAGGATCATGACTAGTAAATTTATGAGATTTTTTTGTTCAGAATTATCCTTTCATTCTATTTCTTTTTTCTAAATATGTTTCTGTCCCTATATTTTCTGAACATAGGGATAGAAACAGAGTCCATGATTAAAGAGCAGATGCAAGCCAACGAAAAGATTAAATCTAAATCATTATTGAGTTAAGTTTACTATAAGTTCACTTATTCACGAGATAATCGATTCTCAAATTTGCTTTATCCATTACTAGTTATTCGGATTTCTAATTAATAGTTAATCGCTCGTCCTTACCGTTGTTTTATGTGGGGCGTGTTCTCAGCAACCTAAAAAAAATGAAATAGGTTGATGACAAACTTTACACTAAAACCATTCATTATCAATCATTGATATAATGATCGGGAACTTCTGGAAATAATATTTTTTATGCTATTTTTTCAGCCTGTTAATCAATCTATGGTCGATCTCGCGTCTTTGCTCGAAATACCTCTTTTTAATGAATTAATGCTTGTATATGAAATTCAATATAACGCAACCAAAGATGCTCTCAAACATTTTCTCGAAGAACAGGTTAATTTAAACAATCCTAATTTCTTGTTCAAATTTCTTTTCAAAAGAATCTCTTAAAGATATTTATAAAATGAAAAGTAAGGCATAAAATGAGTGCTGATTGATTATGTTCATAATCGTTTATTATTCAATCAAATAACTATCAACTCTTATAATCCGAATTTGTAATTTCAAATAAAGCTCAAGTTTCCTCCACTTCAAAACTACTTTGACTGCATTTATTGGTCTTCTTTTCTATCTCTCTTTATCCATATGATAACGGCGCTTCTTCAAATCTTTGATTTATGCTTTTTAGCCTGATTTGATTCTTCCTCTCTTTACCAATGTGCTATGGAGTTTGTTGGTTAATCCGTTGTTGGCTATTAATCCAATTACAAATGTGAATTTACCAGCTCAGGATTTGTCGATACCTAACGAAGACTTACAGAATATTGCAGAAGAAATGTTGGATAAGATTAAAACACCCAACAAGTAGTTTAATTTCAGAAATCAATTGTTATAAAGTGTTATTTGTTAAGATATTTTCGCCGTTTTAAGTTTCCCATTATTCGGATTTTGTTTTCAAATGCTTTCACATGTATCCACAGTGTAACTATTTTGTAGTACACAAAACGCAATCAATCCTCAACAGTGCAATCAACGCGCGCATACCGAATTGAATAACGATTCTGATAAACGGACTCGGATTAACGGACATCGTACTGAAAATGTTAGACACTGCTAAGTTTTTATGAACTTCATGATAAAGCATTCTTCGACTTCTCCATGCAATTTCACAGATAGAACAAATTTGAAGAACGTGCCATTATCAAAAAACATTTTAAGTGCAAATTATTTCTTAATCTATTTCTTTTTATTGAAGCTAGTCTAAATACAGTGTCGTTTTCACTTGCTTGAAGCTTTTGAAGCATGTATCATATTTGGAAACATAAATTTCAAAATAGATTTTATGATACGTTATTCTTCACATCTGTTAATCTTTTATATTTACAACAGAAAAACAACTCTGTTCTGTGTAATGTTTGCGCAAAACCATTGAAAAATCGAGCTGCGTTCGTGAAACATCGTCGACGGCATCTTGGCATCTCAGAACTTGCTTTTGCATGCGGAACATGTGACAAACGATGCAGTGAACGTCGTCATCTAGCGGTTCACTGCAAAAGCAAACACCATGAGGTAAGTTCACCTTAAGTTACAAAATATTTGATCACTAACTTGGAAAACTATGTTACTTAAAAAACATGTGTTAAATACTCTTTTTCTACTTAAGATGGTTGTTGGCGAAAACTTGACCGAGTAACTGAGTTTTTCGGGAAGACGGTTGAGAGATATTTCCCTATTAAAACTTTGCAATCCTCCTTAGAATAAGTAATCCATGTTCATTGCCATTGTAGTACATACATAATATACATTTCCATGTTTATATTTATTTATATTTGTACTAAATCAGTCGTCGCGGTAGGGTAAGCACAATGGAGGGAACATATTTTTTACAATTGAGCTAAGCACTGCGAAGAAGTAAAACCATAAAAATACTATGATCTGACAAAATGTTATAGAATCATTTTTCAAACTACATTTTGGAAATGAAGAAAAAAGTTATGGTAATACATAGCAAGCTAACATTACTTATTTTGATATTATGTAGAAAATGGAGAAAACAAAAAGTATATGCGGGAATGTACATGAATATTTAAGAATTTCAGGTTTCACAAATAAAATTTTAGATGCCATCGGTGCCGTCCAGATCTGGAGCGAATAATCTGGAGCAGGATATGATGACCCTTAACGATTCAAAGGAAGAAAGTCCGGATTCTGTTCCTGAAATAAACTCCACGAATGAGAAGGTATTGCTTTCTAACGTTGGAAAGTATCTGAGGGATTCGTTAAACATTACCAGTAGGCACAAGTCTTCGAAAATTGTAATAATAATAAAGTACTGTAACTCGTGAAGCTCATTTAGAATTTATATTTTTGTATAATATTATGTATAAGAATTTTGAGAAAATACCCACTGCCAGGTAGAACTGGTAATTGTTAAAACCTGTCATTATTTCTCGTTTCGCAGGTGTGATAATTTTCATTAAAAATTACAAATAATAAGGCCAAATTGTCAAGCAAAAAGATTTGATTCTTCATTTCGTTTTAAAGTTAATGCGAGATTCCTTTTCAAAAAGTTAACAAAACTATTTCGCGAGGGTAAGAAGGGAGAAATTGTAAATTCTCAAAACTGTCTATCTGTTGAAAGCAGTACATCTGTAGAGTTTTTAAAAGTGAATGGACATTATGTGATTTATTAAATTTCACTTGATTTAGGTACTTGTGAAGCTTTGGCGATGTAATGATGATAAAAATAGCATTCCGAACGGAAGGGATATGTGCAATCAGTTGTAAAAACAAGTTCCTTATTTTTATTTTTAAAATACAGAAATTGATTAATTTTACCCCACTTATTTTCCTAAATACTTAGAGCAATTGACTGATTTCACGATCTTCACTGGATCCACAATCTTTTATGTGTCTTATTCCTTTATTAAACGTAGATAGTGCGACGTTAATAAAGTTTTTCTAGATTATATGTCTATGTAAATGAATCTTTATTAAATTAAATAGTCCAAAGAAATTTCGTATGAAACCTGTTAGAAGCAGAATACCTAATGCTGTTCTCGGTCCCGTTGCTAAAACTGCAGTTCTTTCTCTTAGTCACTTTCCGTCCATGACAACAGTAAAATACAATGGTCTACTGCCATTGTGGTCTGTTCCCATATCGTTTTTGACTTCAGTGTAATACGAATAAAGATCTGAGATCAACTCGTAAAACTGAAAACAAGAATACAGGAATATTTGGACTGCTCTTTCTTTGGTCCGCTATATCTTAATGCGTAGTGATAACCAAACATATTAATCTTAATATGATATTTACTGAAATTTTAAATGATTAATGTGGAGATTTGTTATTTTTAATGAAATCTGGAAAAGATTTGTTATCTTTAACTGTTTAAAATTAACTGTTTTTAAATATCTCGCATTCCCTGCTCTATTTAAAAACAGTTAAAGATGACTAATTTCCCTGATTTCATTAATCATTTGAAATTTCAATGCAGTAACATATTAACATTGATATTTTTAGTTATCACTATGCATTAAGAAAGTCAATGATTCATGTAGTTACGATACACTGTATTGAAAATATATGTGGAATTACTCTGATAAAGAAAAATATCTGATTTATTTATTCAAGCTTTTTTTAAAGATGATCTTCTTGTTATCATGTGTTGCAATAAATGTAAACGAAATATATCTCGGGAGTGATCGGGAGCTCTATGTTTTGCTGTTGGAGACATGACTCTTTTCATCAAATTTATTAATCCCCTCCAAAAAAAATCACGAATGATATATTCCTAGTAGAATGTTTACAAAGAAACATTCAGGCAATTCAAAAATATTTTTTGAAATGTAAATAATCGGAGACACTCGTTAATGAAAATGTGATGTATTCTTCCAGACTACGAGATTTCATGCGAAATGATATCAAAGGGAAATGGAAACTTAACAAAACTTGTCCCACTCCCTCATTATATTACCTGACGCATGGTAGCCACCATCATACTACATAATTATTGTTATGGATCTTAAGATGCTTCCTTCTTATCAGATTTTTTACTTGGAATTAAGACTGAAAAAAGAAACATAATCATATCCGTTATAAAAATACCAATTTATAACAACCAAATAAAATATTCCATTAAGAAGTGTCTGATGTTTCAGAACTTTTGCTGCTTACGCTTTCTGTGAATTACTCCACTTCGCTGCAACATTTTTTTTTTACCAATTTTCTTCGTTTTCTTAGTATTTTTAATAACTTTCGTAGATTGAGTATTCCTGAAAATTTATGAAATAAACGAATGGAAGAGCAGTTCTAAAAAAATTCATAAATTTTGAAAATATGGCATGAGAAGTGATAAGCTTTGATTTGAAAAACGGTAAAACTGCTCCTTACGTCAAATAACTGTTCCCCTAAAATCACTGCAGTTTCACTACTAAATAGAAAATTGAGTGTTGGTAGCAGCACCACTTAAATCGATTCATTTCCAGAGAGCTTATAAATTTCTAATAACTGACAATATCAAAACTTTAATGCATAAAGCTGATCCTTCCTCAATTTATAAATACCCTGGAATTCCAACTTTTCCATGCGAAAAAGATTTGGTAATAGACCATTGTTTTCTATTCCCTTAGTCTAATACGAAAAAATGAGTGGTGAACTCATCATAACAAGTGTTGGAAGTATACTTAAAAATTACTTCTTTATTAATGCTTTCATGACTTTATAAGTATACCAAAATGCAAAACGCTCAAAAACAAGTAAATTACCTCAGAGGTGTTTTATTTTTCAAAGCCAATTTTGTTGTTTTTTTAATCAATCTTTGTTTGGCCATTTCATTCATAAGTCGTGAGACAGCATTTACTATTTCAGATTTCGGCACTTCCGTCCTCAAACGAGTTTGTGCTTTCGTAACCATAATAAAAGGAGCTTCACCATTTTTGGCTGCTGTGAATCTTAAAATCATATATTTGCGACATTTTTTATTTTACATTTCTAAATACCCTAATTCTTCAACAAATGAATTCTCTTATAACATCAGTTTTCATTCCAGCATACAGATATTCAATAGATTCATATGACTTTCCTAAAATCCATCCTATTTCTCTCTCCTTATAACAATTGCTGATGAATGATATAGTCAGGGTTATATACCTCACGTTTCGATAAACCGTGTTATTGTTTCTTTAGCATAGGAAATTTTTATTTGCAAAAACTAGGACGACGAACGAAGCAATAAGACGTTAAATAAATAAATCATTATTTGACGTTTTCATGATTTTAGGATTTTTCATTTCATTCCTAAAACCAGATCACCATTTCCAAACATTTCACTTATTTCGCAAATTATTGAAGTAACCGAAATAGATTATCAGCGATTTGTTTAAAATATAATTAGGTAAATTGCATACTAAAGATTTACTTTTTTGATACAGTATATAACTGCTTCCTTCGAGCACTCTTTATGCCAGGTTTCTTCCCAATTTCAAGCAGTAATTTGCTTATTTGATCATAGTCGAACTGAAACTTGAACTAAATCAAAACTGCATCTTTTAACACATATTCAGTTGGTACAAATAGTAGTTACCAAATGTGTTAATGCTATAAGACGAGAACCTGATTTAGACAGATGCAAATTAATCAAAACGTCAAATATATTCACATGCCTCATCAAAACGAAAAGGATAAGTCCCCTTTAGTAATAAGTCCCACTAAAAATGAAATTCGAAGCGCACAACCAAAAACCTACTTTGATTCCTTGGTCACTAGCACTTTCCACTGTTCCGTCTGTTATGTTCTTCTCCACTTTTTCTTCGGCGTACTGATGTAAAATTGACAGGAATATCTCTTGTATAACAGAATCAAAAAGATAATTCCTAAAAATATTAAAATGAACAATAAACAAATTGATTATCATTTTATGAACAGATTTCAGATTTCAGTACGCTGCAAAATTCTAGTGTTCTATGCAGTATATTATTAGACAGCGATAGTCTATAATAATTTTCATCCACAACCAACATAGGAATACCCGAAAATCAGAAGTGTCCCATCACAAAATCGTGAAACTTCGAATGGTGACGTGACAACATGGAGCACATGACACTTTTTAAATGAAGTCCATTGTTCCAAACATCTTATGTTGTATTTAAATCATCACTGTTGAAATAAGATGAAAATAACAGTTACGAATATTGCAGAAAAGTTACAATATTAAGGACAGAATTTATACAATTCGTTCGTTCAACTCTCATAAACTACAAAATTAGTCACATAAGTTAATGTAATAAATAAAGAATAACTTACGACAATGTCCTGTTGGCAAGAAGATCAGCATACGGTTTCAAAAGTTCTGTCACCTGATTTGGTCTCAAACCGCCTAAAAAATGAAAAAAATATCAATTAAAAATTTTCGATGCACATCAAAAATAGCAAAAAAAACCGACACTATCCAATTCAAAGAGATAAATAGTAAGAAAAATTTTCGAAAACATGAAAACAACGGAAACCAACCAGCACCGTCCAATTCATCGAGATAAATGGATGCGAAATGAAATTTTAATCCTTCCGAAAATGATTTGTCTGAAACAGAATGTGATGCAAACGAGAAGAAATGTGAATTTCGTTAAAATTCATCAAAAATTACAACCAAAAATGGCTAGTCAAAGGTTTGCTGCTTGTTTCTTTTCTTACATATTCAACATAATATTTCAAAGCAAACTGCATATATAACCATTTGAAATAACACAATCCTTAAAAGCGTTGATGTACATATTAGTGATCGTCGTCTCCCAATTCTTCGAGCGTAGGCGTAGGAAAAGAGCACGAACAAGCCGACGTATTAACTGCAATCACTTGTTTATTTCAATAAAATTCAATATCAATAAATTTGAATACTGATTACTATTTCGTTAAGAACAATAATACACCCAGAAGCGTTCAACATTTATACAATTCAATCCATATTCCTACACATTTTAGAGCTTATTCCAAAGTACTGAAAAGTTTTTATCTGCTTTTTTTTAAAACATACCACATGACGAATAAAAAAAAAAACAAAAAATGATGGGTAAAATATTAATAACGTCTGAAATGTCAAAAAAATAGGTACAGATTAACAAAATTGTTAAGTAATGAAAACGCTATGTGAATTTGACTGTTCCGACCGATTATGGACCAAACTTTCATAGATGTTATCATTAATTGTCTTGAACAACTATACAATATCGTAGTACGAAAAAACATCCTAGTACCCCGGTGAGACAAAATGAAGCGAATTAGAATTTAGAATTTCAGGTTAACATCTGAGATTAATATATTCTTTACGACGATAAACATTAGTATTTCGGCTTAATACATTCTTACCAAAAATAAAAAACAGTCAGTAATTTGGAATAACAAATTCATACTAAATAATAGACTAACAATTGCTTCAAATACCGAACAATATGCTTTTACCCATGTCAGTACTAATCTGCCCTGATGGTACAAATACATGATATCAACTTTCCTAAGCCATTTAGCTTTATTTTTATCCGAAGAAAACTTCCACTCATAGTTCAACCGATTTTAAATTTCTTGATTCGCTTCAATTTTCAATGTTACATTTATTGATCTTTTACAAGATTACATTTCTTTTGAACAAACAAGACAGGGAAAAAGATTAACCATAAGAAACTTATCCATTCTCCAACGATCCATTCGTGACCACTCATTAGAAATAGTTATTAACATGCACTTGGTGAACAAAACGGACTCTTTTTCTCTTTCAAATAAATTTAACAATGAAGCGATATTATCGGCGAGTTGCTCTTGCCATAACATCTTGTCTTGCATCCACATCACGTAATGCAGTCCCTTGGTTAAATGTAATATCGCTTTATCGTCAAATTCTGTAAAAAAGTAAAAATTTGACTTCATTTAATTCAACTCACTCACTTTCAACAATTTTCACTTTCTACTTTTTTATTCGAAAAGTCTTGAGGTAATCATTAATTTCTTGAATATCACAGCAAAATCAAGATAATTTTACAATATAAAATGATATGGAATTTCGCTTCCTTCAATATAGCTTTTACAATAATTGTCCAGTGCTAGGGAAATCTTTTCACAAAACATAAGAACGGTAAATGAATCCTAAATAAAAGTGTATGAGCCTAGCCATTCACAGATATTATCAACGATTTCGTCTAGTGCTTGGCAGACAAACAATAAAAACGAAAAAAGCACCTCGCCTGGTTGATTCAGTCCGAATCCAGTCACATAGCGTCCGAAAAGCTCGTCGACGAGTGATCGGCTCACCAGATGCCAACTTCTGAGCAAAAATAATCTCAATTTCGTTCAATTCTGAATCCATTAGATCTAAAAAAATTTATTATTTTAATAAGTAGAATTCAAATGATAACTTCAATTCATTCCATTACCTTTTTGAATTGTGCACTATTTAGTATTTAGTATATCTTTCCTCATTATTTATTAATGTTGAAATGAAAAAAAGCAAATTGCTAAAGTTAAAAAAAACAACATTATTTCAGATGTTATACTTTTTCATACATAAATTTTTTTAAATCTTAAGTAGATATCAGTTTGTTGTAAAGTATAAAAACTTTAATATTCTAGATCATTGATATTTCCCAGATTTAAGCAAGAAGGAAAATACTCAAAAAGGATTTCCTCAAGAATTTAAAGAAAATAGTCGAATTAATAAATTATGCAAACAATTGTATCGGAAGAATATTAATACCAATTAAATTATTTTTTAATATCAAAGTATTTTCTTATGCTCTCTGATGTGCATCGTCGTCGGAAAGTTTCATAAAAAAACATTCATAAAGAAGATAGTAACTGTGCAATATAACAAAATTTATCTATTAACGCCAAAGCATAATTCCTGGTGATTTGCAATTTAAAAAGTTTGGAGTTAATTACTAAATCGGATATTTTTTTTTTATTTGATTCAACCACTGTTGGACCTTAAAAAGGTTAGCATATTATAAAAGTAGTAAACAATAATATTTCGTAAACTTGAATTATTGGAAGAAAAATTAACAGAAGAAAAATTAACAGACGGAAAATCAACAGAAGAAATCCACAAAAGAATCGAATGGAAGAGGGCAGGGTGAAGAAGATGCTTTATTATGATAAGAAAAAATGGACATATGTGCATAATCGTTGAGATCAATTCTTTTGAAAATTTTTTTTCGAAAATTAAAAAGAAAAAAGGCTGTAAATGTTTTTAAAAAAGAGAAAAAAGCTGTCATATTTATTTGCAAAATTTTCATATTAACCTGCTTTTTTGCCAGATGATATTAATAACAGAAACGAGACATCATGAATCGAGTGCAACAGCCTTGCACGTTTAAAAAACCAAAATAAGCAAAATAAAAAACCAATCAACCATCCCTAACGCATCCTTTTTTCATCAACAACAGCCTGGCAGCTTGCCCGGTGCTCGAAGTGCAACCCTCCGTCTCCAACGAGCCATTTTTTTAGGAATTTCAATGTGGTCGAAATTTCAAAAAAGAATTCGGAGAAATTGGATCATACTAATGATTAAAAGTCACAATTACTTGCTGGAATGAAAGGTCAAAGATCCATGTTACTCACACTCGTTTGAATTATTTTCGAACTTTGCATCTGTCTTACTATCTCTCTGTTTCCCCCACTACTTTATTAATTTCAAAAATATATTCCTGTATGCTCAATAATATGTGAAAATATAGTCATGGCAGGGTTTATTAGCAATCCCTAATACCCCATTATATCTTTCTTTCGCCTCTTTAATGACAAATTATCGAATCATCACTGATTGTTAAATTATAAACAACAAAATTTCTTGGCTCATCTTTAACTTACAAAATTTTTTTCCCACTTATTGCTTCTGTTCAGTGCTTAATTATTTCTGCTGCAATTTTGTATCAGTATGTTCCCGACGTTCATCCCATTACTGCTTACCGCATTCAAATCTTCCCTAACTATTCTAAAATATAAAGTGTAAACCGGTGAACAAAACTATTTAATTAATGAACTTTGATGTAAGGATGAATTCTGAGAATGAATTGACAGAAGAAGTGTAAATAATCAAATTAATCAAACTCATGTTTAATCTGTGTTAAATTTAATATGCATATTACAAACAATGAAGAGGATGAATGAAAACATAAAAATCGAAAACATTTCATCTGCATTTGATTCTTTGAGTACTGTATAGCATATTGTATTTTTAATATTGATAATTCTAAAAGCAGAGTGATAATTGAATTTATTCTAACAGCGAGTTAAAAAGAGTTAAGGAATTGAAAGGAAAGAATTAATTGCTTTTATAAACGGTTTTTTGAAGGAAAAGCCATGTCAAATTCATGTGTAATTTGCTTCCAAAATCAATGTTATACTATTGTTATCGTCAAGTGGCTAACGGTAACTTACTGTCAGTCACATTTTCGTTTTCATTCTTCCTTACTGTTATTTATAAACTTTCCGTGATTTGAAGAATATGACATCCTCTGCTGGTAACACAAATATTAGCATATAATCAATTTCCGGATTTTTTGACTTATAAAAAGTATAAAGGTTTTTAAACGATTCATTGCAACTTCCTTGTTTTCACATTATGTAGAAGACATCCATTATTAACTGATATCAAAGATTTAATTAATGAAAGATGTATACATGCATATATATTAACAGGGATTCATTGAAAGTATTAAATGAGCAGTTGTAGTTGAGCGATTTAGCACTGTTTCAACATCGTTGACCGTTTAATGTCCTAAATCAGTAGGAAATTAAGAATGCTTTTATGCCGCGCAATAAGCAGTTACATTCAAATCTCTCTCATTGTTAACATATTCCCGAAATAATTAACATTATTAAATTAGCAGGCAATTGATGACTATAAAATAGAACGCTGTGGAATATTTGTATTTTAAAATAAATCTGAAATGAAATTAGAAAAAAACGATCACTAAACTTGTATGGATCGTTTCGTGCTGATGTACTCTCATGGATATCGAAATCCAATGATTGCTGCAATCCCATGGTTTCTTTCGATTTAATGTTTTCGAAATGCTTAAAAAAACGCAGTAACATCAACCGACGTGTGAAACTTGTAGAGCGTAGTCAGCTCACATGGTTTTTAACTTATAAAATCAAAAAAATTGGTCATATACATTGAGAAAAATCATTTCAAGGACAAGTTTATTTATCTACTGATAAGCGTAAAATGAAATATAATTTATGCAAAAATCTGATAATCTTTCAAGTTTTAAAGTTATCAGATAATGTAATAAAAATCGAATTATTATTCGATTAAATCAAATTCAAAATGTGGTAATTTTTTTGATAAAAGAAAAAAGGATAATGGCGTCTGGAAGTCGAAATAATTTTGCAATATAAAAATATTAAAATAATCAAACTGTTTTTTAGAAATGTATACTACAAAAACTACTTGTCTTCAATATCTCAAATCAAAGTTTTAATATATCTAAAGGAAACTGTAAATGATTTGTTCCACCTGTGACCGGATGATTCGATCACTTGTTCACTGTAAGTTTCGTCTATAAAATGATTATTTCATTTTTGTTAATTTTTCATTCATAAGGAATTGTACACGGCGTGTTCCGCTGCTGCAAGAGGTTAATTTCTCGAGATGTTTCGAAGTTATATTGAACTACTACTATCTACACCCAATCAATACTATCATAACAAACAGTCCCAAAGAAACTGATTAAGCTGCTACTGATAATTGTCTTATAATGTCCGTCTATTAATAACCTTCACTAAAATATTCAACTGCGTCGAAATAAATCTTTCCCTTAAACAAAAAAGAACAACAGCGTGAGAAAAGATTTATATTACTAACAACATTAGTTGAACAATGTAAGGAATTTCAACTTTTCTTTATATTTTTAAAAGTTAGCAGAAAACAGTTATGACCGAATAGGTGATTTTAAATTTATAAATGAAATAAAAGGAATAACTATGAGCAATGATATATTTAAACAATTGTTTATTAAAAATTTTCAAATAATCCACAACTCTATTAACACTTTATCTTCTTTTCCCTCTTGCTTTTTTAAATTATTGGTCTGATTTAAATATACAATTATACATTCACATATTTTATGGTAGCAAAGTATAAAAATATGAAAAATATTATTCCCATATGATTCAATAAATGATTAAATGTTAAGGTAATTATGGAAGATATAACCGGTTAACAATCTAAATTGCACTGTTCGGAAATAATTAGTATTTAAGTCTCTTGTAATGATAAAGTTATTCATAAGCATATGATTTTAAAAGTGTCAATGAATTATTCTTAGTTTTTTTTTGTATGATTCTTTAATAATTTTCAAGTGAAGAGAGACATAAATTTGTTATGATTTGGAGAAATTACCTAATAGATATATTTCTTAACTTTGCAAAAGAGGGACTTCACACATGTATCGATAAACACACTTTGGCAAGTTAAGAAAAAAAAGAATAATACTGCTCTGAATGCCCACCAAAATTTAATTAATCATGGAGAAATAGATGAGATATTATGCACTTCCAAGAAAACGCAAAAATTATTAATAAGTATTTTAAAGTTACAATCATTAAAAAATATATGCTATTGAAAGTCACATTTGTGGAAATTAAGTAAAAATTTTGAGGGATAAATTTCAGACAACAACGAAAATGAAGGAACTCGAACAGTTATTAATTATCATTATAATAAATATAATTATTTAAGTGCACTGTTTATTGCACCATTTCCAATATTCACCTCATTACCGTTATATATGGCACTGGAACGACCGTATTTTGAACAGTCTGAAAATGAAATCGATATTTTGAATTTGTCAGTTATATTTTTACAGATGAAAAAATATAAAACTACTATTTTTGTTATTCATTTAAACTTAACACGAACAATTTAAATTAATATAACATAATGGCTAAGAAAAAAACTTTTGCTTCCAGAAAATAAATCTTTAAGACTATTAGTATGGAACGAAATTTTGGTAGCTGAAGATTTTGTTTGCGCATTTATCATGAAGAGCAAAGTAATAATTAAACTGATAATCGATTTAATCCGCTAAGGGATATAATTCGAGATGAAACATTTTCGTTAAATCCCTATCTTTGGAAAGCAGTCAAGTCATGTGTTTTGCTTACTAATTGGAGCTATACATTAATTCAAGCTGATATGTCCTTAATAATATAGAACTTACTGCATATGAATTAAATTTCTGTTACGGTAATAGGAATCAAAATTTACAGAAACAAAAATCCAAACAATTTCTTCATATCACATTAATATAGCTGCAACAAATTTTTGTAAAAATTTTCTGATCGAAAAAAAAGTCTATAACCTATTTGCTGTAAAAATCTGTTTCGATCACGAATAAAAGACGCTGCGGCACCGAAGAACAGTAAAACACTGATAATTAACACAATATTAGGTATGTAAAATGCTTTAGCTAATGACTGAAAACATGCTGCTGGAGTACTATCGGGGCCTCGTATCCAATCAGATACCTGAAATTCGGTCATCATGTTTGATGAAGACGGATAACATTTCTTGGAAGAGAGTGATACGTAAAGTCTAACGATTCTAATTTACCAACATTGCTTACAATTATACGATTTTATGACCACAAATGAAATGGTAATATTTACTTTAATATAACTATTACAAAAACATTTGTTGCAATGTTTTTTCAAGTATTAGAATTGGCAAAAATAATATCATATTTCAAGTATTAGAATTGGCAAAAATAATATCAAATTACTCACCAAACCAACAATGTACGGTCCAGAAGCATCACCAAACAAATGTGATATAAGGATTTGCCATGAATTTGCAATCGATCGTCGCTGCGGTACGATTATATCCTATATAAGAAAGCCGAATTTACAAAAGCTCAATTTTCTTTGCTTATCATGCTAAGTAAAATTTCGTAAATAAAATTAACTTTACAACTTTTTTCACATTTCTGCTAATGCTTTCATTTATTTCCTCTTACCCAAAGTGCACAAGTCAATTTGTTTAGCTCATTTCAAGTTTTGGAAAAATTTTGGCTTCATTTAATTTCTATTTAGCGGTAGTAACACTTTTACAAAAAAGATAATCGTTATACAAGAATAGCCCAAGAAAAAAAGAAAATTAAGCTCACAAGAAGCATATCGATGCTTATGGCCCAATTTAAGCATAGCGATACGACTGTTAAAAAGATGAACACCTGTAAGTGGAAGAAAAGAAAAATTTTAGCATCACTTGTCAAATTAATATTAACAAAAATTTGTTCACTTAAGGTCAACTTTAGAATTCGATAATCTTGTGATAAATATCATATGCAAATTAGTAAAAACAAATTCAGTAGAAGGTTAGGAAAAGAAAGATGGACGAATGATGAACGGTCGGTTGTCTAAGTGTAGCTAAAAAACCCCATTAATTCAGACTAGCAGCTGTCACTGCAAACCATAAATGAATAAAACGACTGAGTGCTCAATGGTTGATCATTTGGTGATAAATAACGCTAATATCAATCAATTTAATCTTAATCACCTTTACATCCAATCTTCAGACTTCACATTAATATGTTCTTTTATGTTAATTTTATCTGAAAACTATTTAAAACGACATACAAGCATAAACAATTCGATGAAAAAAATTAAAAACAAAAAAATATTTGAGATATAAACATACCCAAGCAAGGCTGATATTTATTGTGCATAAATGAAGGCCCATAAAAAGAAATGGTACTGCAAGCATAGATCCAATAGCGCATACCAAAGCATTGGAGCGAACTGTTCTAATAGGCTTACAGCACCATTTACCGTGTGACCAAAACTAAATTGCTATAAATGTTAATATTAAAATTTCAAGAATGGAGTTAACAATTTTTTTTAATTTTAAAGAATAATGAATCAACTCTCGATTTCTCATGATTTTTGTAAAAAATAACAAAGCGACATCCAGTTAGTAACATGCCATATCACCACAAATAAAATGGTCAATGGCCTTGAGGGATGTAAATTGCAGAATGGTGGAAGTAAGGAAACTTGTTTTTAATTTTTGAAGTTCTAGTTTGTTTTAAAATAAAGAATTGTAAATCTTAGCATTTTGCTTTACTTGTTTTTTATTACATTGGCTATTTGATTACAACTGTTTTTATTTTGCAATTTTTTTATTGGAGCGTCATTTTAGGGAGATCACAATGTCATTTGAATCCCAATAAAGTTCAGACTTTGTTTAGCAGTCTTAAGTTGTTAAAAAAGCAATTATTACTTTGTTTTTCTTCTTGGTTGTCTTTTTTATTTGCCCGTTTATTCTTTTGTTTTAATGATTTTTTTGGTTTACTTTGCCATACGCAGAGTGCTAAATGACATCGTCTCACTCGCAATGAATAAGTTAAGTGAACCTAATTCAATTTGATAACTCGTAAATTTTTGCTATCTAAATCAAATGCTATTTAAATGTTTAAAAGAGTAGATTACAGATAAATACCACCGAATTGAGGCTAACTTTACAGCAATTTGCAATCTCGCATTTATCGATCTTTTTAACACCATAATTAAAACCGACCTGTGACAACACTGTACCACTTGAAACACCCAAAATTCCACCAACTACCGTTATTATACCAAAAGTGAGTGATATACTGGAATATTGTCAGGTTTATTATCAACATTTCTATCTCATGAAGTGAATTTCGCAATGTATTAATTACGGGGTGAACAAATAGAATGCAGACAATCTAACAGTAACAGTGCTGTCAACGGCTTGGAAAGGCGGAGATGTGGTCAATAACCGTCGTCATTGTTGCTGTTCTGTCGCTGCCGGACGGTACTGTCCTCGGGAGGGACGAGATCGGGATGCGGGAATGGATTGAAATGAGTGTTTCAATGATTTATTCGTCGAGAGTGAACTGATGGAACAAGATGGAAAAATTCAACGATGTGTAATAAATTGATAAATATTGTAGGAATTAAATTTGTTTTGTGTGTAAAACACTTCCTTTTTGCAACAGATATCAATTTATCGTATTTGTCATTAAATAATGCCAAAAGCGTTTATTTTATGAAAAATGCTTTAGCTAACCGATCTATTTTAAGAGACTGGATTATTGTAGTTGAAACATTTGGCTTTCGATACCTTCTCTAAATCTATTCATTTATTTATGGTTTGTGCCTCCAAATCACAAATTCCCTTCTTTTTCATAGTTTTTCATAACTATCTTGATAAATAAACCATACTGAGGGAATCCAATGAAGAAATTATTTTTCATAAATATATTTTATATAGGGCTAAAATTTTGCTACAAATTACCTATTTTTTTGTTCACTGCTGAGTTGATAAGTATTATTCAAATTCTGCTTCATAGCGACGGAATGTTCGATGGCCGTCGGTCCCCACCACGATAATGTGCCTGTTGCAAATATCACTGATGTATAAGCGAGTGTTGCATAAACATAGGTTGGACTGAAAATAAAGAAACATCACAATTTAGCAAGTAATTCGCAAATTTCCAGATTGGTTTCGAAAGTTATAGTATAAGTGAGCTTTAATGAGTAAATCAAGAAGAAATAGGAATTATGCTGAGGAGATTTTTTGAATCAATCATTGAAGGCCTAAAGTTTTGACTAGCAAAGGTTGTTGTTTCCTTTTCTTTATATTGAAAAAATATTATGTCAAAAGTATATGATAAACAATCTTTCTTCGAAAAAAGAAACTAAGTTTACATTGCACAAATTGCTTTGATATCTTCCCAATATGAAGTTCTCTGTAGACTGTTAGCAGCGACACTTTCCGCTTGGCCAAGTTTCGGTTCTTTCATAACCAGGATGACACCCGGGATACATAACGCGCCTAGAAATGGTGTCATCCGGAGACCCCACTTCCAACTACCCAGTAACGATGAAACATTCGATGATACGATATAGCCCATACCACTGCAAAGTTTCGTCAATTTTGATTAAATTTGATAAGCTGCAAGAATTTCAAACAAACTAATTATCTCTCCACATACATTTTGGTCGAAGACTTTGATTACTCTAATATTCAAGAACTTCTCATTTTTTTGGAAAAGATACATTTAATTGGATTAATTATAGTTGGTACATGACCAATGATAAGAATTTCAACAAATTTTGATTTGCAAATCAAAATATTGAAAAGGAAGCAAAGCAATGAAAGATAGATTGCATTTGAAATTTATTTACATACATACTGTATAGATAATTAACCTTCCAATTGGTATCGCGAAATAAAAAAACATGATTCCTCTACTGCGCACCGAAGTTGAAAATATATCAGCAATTACTGTTGGTGCAACTGTTGCATATGATGCTTCGCCAATACCAACAACACCTCGTAATAGTAGAAATAACCAAAACAGCTAAAAGTCAGTTTCGATAAAATCAAGTGAAGTGAATGATCTTCAAGTTTAATTTGCAAATGAGTCAAAAATTCAAATTTCAAGCGAAAATTAAAAATCGAAGTCCGGATTTGAACTTCTTCGTATTTATTGAAGTCTCACATTAGCGGGCACGAATGATGATGCTATGACAGCAAGAATCCATGTTGCTATACCAATGATCATTACCCATTTACGATTACATCGATCGCCGAGAAAACCACACAGCGGTGCAACTACCATATAGAATACAATAAATATTGTCTGTAGTAAACCTGCTCCGGTATCATCAATCGAAAAAAATGTTTGAACCTGCGTCAAGACGCCTGAAATTGGCGTAATTTAAGAAATATGCTTACGATCTGTAAGAATATCTTGTATATATTTGGGATTTACATGATTAAATATACAAATTACGATATTCAATTTACGTTCCGTTGGTTCAAATTCTCTTAATAACACCCTACAATTTCATTTGAATTCATCAATGAATTTTCCATTATGGTCTAATCTAATCGTTAAACTGTTACAAATGACCGATTCGTTACGGAAATGCACTTTTTGTTGATAGCTGTTATAAAGTTTATTACCATAAAATTAAAATTGAAATTAAAAAATAGTACAAAAGTGCCAGTGAGCAAGGAAATAAAATATAGAGACAATTATTTAAAAAATATCCTTTTTTGCTGAATCATTTGGTCTAATTTGTTTAATTAGTAAGAATTACTTTGCATTTGCAGACAAGATCTTGCAGAAAATTGCCGAATGGACAGCTCAAAATTATCGCGATACAATGAAGAGAGCCAGACTATAACAAGAAAGTGTAAGCAACTTACCAGCAACTGTAAATCGATCCATGTAATTAAGCAAGTTAATGACAAACAAAAGGATCAAGCAGATATAATCTCGCCAATCATTTTTAACTTTTGGTTTTTCAGATGACATCGAGCTGCTGCAAAAGCTTTGAAATAATTAAAGATTTAAAAAAAGCAGAAAAGTTATAAAACTCGATTTCAAATTTTTGATTTTTCCAGAAAATTATATGAGCTCCATATTATTATAATCAGCAATAAATAATTATTACTCATCAAGTTAACGAAAAGATATGCGTAATCAAGCGATGATATATTGATGATACGCAATACAAATTTATTGTCCATTAGTAAACAAATAGATTGTTAGCACTTAATTTTACTATGTGACAATTATTAATACAGTCGATCACTTTTTTTTTGCTATGTGACAATATGTGACAATTTTACTATATGAACAACAAAGTGATCCACTTTGAAATTATTTGATAATCTTATAATTATGTAAAAACGGATAACGCTTAATACTCATTAGTATTTAGCTTCAATGTTTATTACTCGTTGAAGTCACTAAATTGCCACGTGCCGATTCAATTTGCTTTAATCGTAACATTTTTTATTTTTCTAAAATCGGTTCAAATAAAAAATGGTTTGAATACAACGATTTGATAATTGATATAATTCAGAAAGTCATATCGAGGGGTATGTACGTCCTTATGCATATACTGCATGGCCAAGTTCATCAAATGAATCGTATTCGACGAGCAATCACGTCACTAACCGAAAAACAGGATTCCACCACCGGAATAGAAAATTCGACTATCGGAACAGAAGGTATTACACAGTCAGTGATTCAGGTGTAATCCATATGCATTTTGTATATAACCAAATTGCATTTGCCTATTCCCACACAAATCATGCAATTTAAATTTATTAAATGCAACTAATTTTATAGGTATTTAAAGGGACAGTAAGATTTTAAGAATGAAATGAGAAAACAATAACTGAAACCTTCTTTGTTTAAAGCAAATACTTCCTTTCTCATTATCCGTTGCGCAAAAAAATGAATTAACAGAAATCGAGAATAATTGTTAAAGAATCAAGCTCTTGTGAAATTTATTACTTACTTAGTTTTTGTCATTAAAAATTTCAAACTTTCATTTCAAAATATTTCGAATAGAAGGAAAACATATTTGAAACGAAATAAAAAAATGAAAAGTTCAAAGAGAAAAATGACAGAAGGAAAAATAAAAAAGGAGAAATTTTTTAATAAAAAATGCCGCCTTTTAAAACTACATTTCTTTTCTACTTTCACTATGGTTAATTTTAAAAAATTAAATTTTGCTAAATGTGAGAAATATTTACTACATAAACATTAGTTAGAAATGAAGGGAATTAATGTAAAACATTCCATTCAAAGACAAAATTTCCAGCTTTTAATTATGTAATTTCACTTGCATTTTCATAAATCACAAATTCCCATACTGCACAGGTAATAGAGAAAAATTATGCAAAAGATATCGTCATGTGACCTATTGATCGTGTGTGTGTGTGCGTGCGTGTGTGTGTGCGTGTGCGTAATAATAAAAATTTAAATGAGTTGGAATGTTGAGCAAAGGTATCAATGATAAACGTTACTAGTAAAACGGAGTACGTTTGTTGTAGGTGTTATAGAAGGAATCGTTGAATTACTATATCCAAGACAAGTTTCAAGCAGACAATTAAGTAAATGAACATGGGGAATTTTCGGAGAAGAAGAAAAGGAAAAGTGAGAAAGGAAGAAGGAGAGATAGAAGGAGAGAAGAAAAGAAAGAGAGAAAAAAGGGAAGGAGGGATAACAATAAATGAATGTAATTTGAAAAATAGAATTTTTTTGGTTTTTTCCCAAACTGTTAATTCTAAAATTGATATGGGACGGATTCGTTTTTTTTTTCTTTATATCAATTTAATATTGAGCAAATGATTTTATAGAAATATGTATTGATTAATAGGCAAATTATATTTTATTAGAAAAACCCATTTCATTCCACTATATTCAGTTACTATATCTATCAAAATACCACAAAAATATTATTTGTATGTATTGCTTAAATTTAACGATAATTTTATTTCAGTTTCAGCAAGATGGAAATAAAACATAAATATACTGTGATTATATTTAAATTTTAATTAAAAATTTGTTTTTTTTTGGAACATTACTAGTATACGTTGTTTCAAGTGGACGTGTTCACCCATTTTCTGTAGTCTGTTTACGAATAATGCATTTTTACTAATTCTTAATGGGCAAAAAATTTCTTAAGTCAAATTCACATGATATTAATTTGAATCATAACATAAGAATAAAATTTTTGAAGATGTTAAAAAAACTGACCTGCTATTAGTGCTATCATGCAGTTTTTCAAAGTGTTTGCAACGAAATGAATCCAATTTGAATGGATCATTTGATAAGGTAACTGCGTTTATTCGAGTTTGCATCGCTCGCACATTGCTTTCTCGATTTCCTCTCAGAGATTTTCTTTTTTCTTAAAAACTGATTAACTTCAATGAAACAATGATAAATTTGTTAAATGTTTCAGAAAATAAAAAGAGGACAAAATAATATGAGCTAAAAAAGGAAGAAGACTGATCTATTTTGATACAAAGAAGAAAAAGGACGGAAGAAGAGAGTTGAAAGATCAGTTTCACGCCCTTTTTGTAAATTTTAGGTGACAAGAGAGTTTTCTATTTTATGACATTTGTTAATTTAATTATTTCCGTCTTTCATTTTTTTCAGTTTCGGAATTTGGATTAATTTACTGTATCTGTTTATTTTTAAAAGCATGCTGCTTCGCCACAATTTTCTGTAAAAAATAAATAAACAATCAGAAGAAATAAATGAATTATATTATGCACATTAGAGTCATTAAAGATTAAAAAAATGGATTAAAAGTAATGAGTCAGATAGAGGGACTTGAATTCTCATTCAAACTGATTATTTTTTCAGCTATAAAAATGTAAAAAAAGTAAGCAAAAAACGCATTTTTAGATGACAAAACAATGTGTACATGGAAAAAGATAAGACAGAAATGAAAGATAACAAATTGAATTTCTCTTAAAACTTTAATTAAGGACGATTGATCTGAAAAAGAGATCATCGATAAAATATATGAAACAATGAACGAATAACACAGTTCAGCAAGTTTTCAAATACCGCAAAAATATTATTTGTATGTATTGCTTAAATTTAACGATAATTTTATTTCAGTTTCAGCAAGATGGAAATAAAACATAAATATACTGTGATTATATTTAAATTTTAATTAAAAATTTGTTTTTTTTTGGAACATTACTAGTATACGTTGTTTCAAGTGGACGTGTTCACCCATTTTCTGTAGTTTGTTTACGAATAATGCATTTTTATCATTATCAACTTTGTTGCAACTTGCTGGATTTGAAAATAAGAAAATAAAACCTACTGAATTATTAAATAATTTCATTAGTTCAGTTGCTTACTGAAATTAAATGAGTGAAAAGGTAATGAATTTGGCAGGGCTACAGAAGCAAAATGAGTTAAATTAATAATTTAGCAGTCATGTAATAAATTTAAGATAAATGACTGGTGATGATGATGATTTGCTGTTTCACTTTGAATCACCACCAACACGGGAAATCGGATATTATCAGATTGAGCAATAGCTTCAGCAAATACAATCATATATTCCGATGTGCTGTGAAATAATCGAAAAGAAAAATTTGCCATCAATTATTCGAATTTGAATTGCTTGTAGATATCAAAAAAAAATTCAACTCTCTGAACTGAACAAATCGTTTCAGTATCATTCTGAAAAGCGGTACATGCGATGGTATAATGACCAAAGAAGTGAATGGTTAGAAAGGTTTGCAAAGCATAACAGGGAATATTATAATCACTTTTAACTTAAAAATCCGTTGACGAATTAGCAACATTTACTATAATGATAACCGAATTTTCAATTTCTTATATGAATTCAAAAAAAGTGATGACGAAAAGGGTACTTCTGTTGCTCGGTCGAGAGCAGTCAGAAATAGGGCGAGTGAACGGAAAACGAAACTGCACTGTCATCATCATTTTCCAATTATATTTGATAGCCTCAATTTCATGCATATGCATATGGGGAGCGAAATTACTTTAAAACGAATCATCCTACCATCATTTGATGACATAATTTGAAAATTTACGAGAATGAGAAAGCTGTGACAGGAATAAAATTGCTGCTAAAAATAGACTAATCGATACTAAAAATGAAAACAGATTCGTTATTGGCGTGAATAACCGAACTAATGGTGAATAGAAATAAATGAAATTGAAGTAGTGATGATTTTGGGATCGAATTGTATATAAAAAATAAATTTGCATATAAAGGACTGTTAATGCATAGATTTTATGAATTCATTTTTATTATATAATTCGTGCTTCATGCATTTGTTTTATACAATTTAAATGATCCTTTGAGGATTATACTTCAAAAAAGAGCTATTTTTTTCAATAATTTTTGAAATTTAAAAGTAAAAACAATAATTGTGAAAATCAATGTAAATTAATGTAGCCATGCAAAATTTTAATAGCATCCTAAATATACCATTTCGTTTAACTACACACTGCTCGTACACCCTACAAAACCACAAAATCTGAAGTTAAATTTTTGAATTGGGAAATAAATTAAACTGAAACAAATTCTAAACTTTCCTAAAATACAGCAATTATTGCAACAAACAAAGTATTAAAATAAAATGAAACATGAAAATATGCAACAAAACATTGTTGTAATTCCAAAGGAAAAATTATTTTAAAAAATTTATTTTGTTTTAAATATTAAAAAAAGTTACAAGAGTAAAAGGAAACATTTATTACAAAAAATATATGTAGATGAGAAAATTTTCAATCAACAAATCATCGCATTGAGAGAAAAGAAAAAATTGGAAAGAAAATGAAAGGGACATAAGTCGTTTAACTGAATTGATTTTTTAACATTTTCTATTGCGAAAGGAATTTTCCTTTCCTCAAAAGAAAAAAATGGGTGCCGATATTTGAACAAGTTCTTTCACTCATATGTGATCGGCTTTGTGAATTATTTTTCACACTTTCCGTTTATTTCTTACAGTTTCTGTTTCAGCAATTCAGTTTAACGAATTGTTCTATAAAGCAATCATCTTCAAAGAGACGTCACATTTCAAGGTCAAAGATTTATTTCACAGAGATTATTATTTTTTCTCAGCAAATAATACTTCATCGTTAGCATTCTCATCTGCTTTTATTTTATTCATATATTGCAATTTCTCGATTTTCAATCATTTTCAACGATTTACTCTCAACCACCGATGTTGTTGATCCCATTGGTTGTGTGCAATCATTGTATTTAACTTCACAGAACGCGGTGTTGTGAGGGCCCTTGCAGTGAAGGCATGTGCGCTTCCTTCTGTTGCAATTGGTGTAGCATGTCCAGATTGGGGCACGCATTTTGCACGCATTTTCTTTTTTCAGTGTTCTTTTGACAGTGTGATAATTATGGCATTCACGATCCCAACAATCGTTGTTACAAAAGGAACATGTTCTCCTTGTTTCACTTCCCTTTTTTTGGATTCAAATTTGTGTCTTTGGGTCTTTGGTGTAATTGTGGCTAAGCTAAAATCTCATCTGGATTATACCGGATGTAAGACTTTGACATACTTTTAGTCGGGATTTGCTCCTTTTTGGTATGCGGAGACTGGCTTCTGGACACTTCTTCACTTTTTAGTACGAGTTTCCCAAGGAACTGTCTAAGTTTGTAGACAGACTATGATTCTTGACCTTTTTGTTGATAGATTTTGTCTAAAATCCAAACCAGCAATCTGCTTTCGATTACGATCTTGACACTTGATTGTTCCAAGTTTTCGCCCATAGCTTCTAGTTCTCGAAGTATTCTTTCAACTGCTTCGACTGTTACCTTCCATTCCTTATCATTTTTCTTGGTGGAATGTAACTCACTATAAAGCGATTTTTTGATCCTATGTGGTTGCCCATATTTTTCAACCAAAACCTTTCTGATGACATCATAATTTTCCGGGGTCATATCGTAACTGCTAGACACGCTGTCAAGTAATTTAGATTTTATATATCTGGAATATTTTGTAGATGCACTGCAGCATCAAAACTACTCTGGAATCCTCTCCATAATTTTGGGTTGCCAAAAAATGTGGGTAGTGGTAATTGGGCAAGTTCACTGTTAAATGAAGTGCCATTTGGATTGACCTATAGTGAGTAAGTTCGTTTTTTTTCATTCCTTGATTTCGACATTGGAATTCTAACTCAGAGTCATTTTAATACAATTTTAAAGTTATTATAACTTTTTTTCCTTCACCTATTAATTTAAAATACCTCTTTGGTCGTCGACCATTTGAGCGTATTTGTCTTCTCGCACTTGTGTTGTTGAATGCATTGTTTCCATTTGATGTTTGCGTTTTCGAATGTGCTCACATGTAGTTTGAAGTGCATTATCTTCTCTTCGATAGTTCTTTTTCTGGCCTCATGTTGTTGGCGAATTTCTTCTCGAGTTAGCATTTGGTCCAACGATTCAGATCCATTCCTTTGACTTCTTCGAGAAGGTCTTCTAGTTTCTCTATGAGGTTCTTTGATTATCCTGGCACCAAAAATTGTTGTGAGGTTATTGGTTTGATTTGATTTGGGAGAGCTTTATTGTATTGTGGTACAATTGAATCTGTTGATGAAAGTTTCTTGCTGAAGGGATTTTATTTTTGGGTTGACGTTATAGAGTTAGTTGTATTTCCTTGAGGTGGGAGTTGATCGTTCTATTAGATCACGATCTTACGGATTAGGTTTGAATTCGTTATTTGGGTCTTGTCTAGAATGCTCTTTCCGGACACTGTTGAATTTGATGTGTTGACTATGCCAACTGATGTAGTTTATTGGATCGGATAAATATTTAGTTGGCGGAACAATGCTACCTGAGGTAATAATGATGAAATTTAGCAATTGATTTGATGACAGTTGCAAGAAAGCTTAAGGACGTTGAGATGGATGAAAAGTGACTCCTCACCCTTGTATATTGACTATTTATGTACCCATCCAGGATAGTAGATAGTTGGCTTAACAGATAACCCCGGGGTCAGATGAGGTTGAGGAAAACCCCGGGGTCAGATGAGGTTGAGGAAGGAAGAAGCAGAAAGGACAAAGGGCATTGTTTGATTACTTGTTAGCTACATTGGTTTCACATGACATGGAACAATTAAAAGACAAAGGCGTTATAAAGCAATCACTTAATAAATTATAGCAACACATAGAAATTAAATTTAATAAAGATAGAATTGTGATGCAACTTCCTCGGCTTAACTGTCAATAAATTTACATGCTTTACTGAAGAATACTTTTTATGAATTTAATTTGATAATTTTGTATTGTGGATTTCGGATTTCCGAGAGATGTCACGGCTAGAAGTAATTCTCATCGGCGAATTTTTGCATTAATATTGCCACTGCCAAACGCATAAATTTAGTACAATTTCAGATTTAAAAATAAATGAGAAATTATTATATTCCTAAAAATGAAGGTAAACCATTTCTCTTGTTTGTAGTTTTATCGACTACTTTAGATTAGTCGATAAAATGGAATCAAGGAGGACGATAAAGTTTATGGTGATTTCAATAAGACATTAAAATTTCAGTGATGGGTTGATACTTTGTACATTCCTTCAGTACAAAGATTTTTTCTCCTATTTCCTTTTATTGTGTTTTCTAGTAGTTCATCTCTAATACAACCAATATCCCATTTAATTAATTTTATTACCATACACTGCTGACAAAAGCTTGAAAATAAAAACTAAAGTAGTAAACATTTTCTTCAACAATTTATACAACAGATGTTTGAAAAATAACTTTTGCAATTTATTAATTCTAATAATAATTTCGAACAAAAAAATTCACAATACTTCAATCCTTTATAATTAGTTATATTATATGACGTCATTCTAAAACGTTGAAATCTTTAAAGTGATTTCCCATACTGTAGGGATATATTAAACTTCAATAACATTAAAATTCATTCCAAGTCCATTTTATCCCAGTAAATAAACAGTAAGCAAACAAGCATAAACAAGTAAATTAAATAATCTACGCACATTTCATATTCAATGCTAAACATTCTAAACAAATCAATGCATATAAAATGAAGAAAAAAAATTTGCTTAAAAATGGGTGAAAAAAAACTTCATAAGATTTAAATGTTCCATTAGAAAGAGAGGGAGAAAAAAAAGAATGAATAACTACTGAATTTTCATTCTGTTCGCAGAATATTGTGACAAGAAAAATGATATTTACTTTTTAAATAATCACAGACTAGAAATCAGTTATTAATGAAAACTGATAATGATAAAAGTGCACGGTCAACATTCGAGTTGAATATTAGATACGGCAAAAGTGCCTTCCATCATTATCCACTCGTAATGATAACAACGCAAAAAAAACTTTTTTTCAAGCATTTAAATCAAGCTCTGAAGCAGCACTTAAAGAAAATAAATATGGCATAGAATAGATTGCAGAATTTTGCCAGGTTTCTTCACACATGTTTCAGTGTATGTTACTTTCAAAGGCATTTTCTATTCCACCATGAAAATGGTGAAATGGAATTGTTTAACATTCAATTTGACAAATTGTTGAAATTTTCGCAGAAAAAATTTTGATGCTGTTCATGTTTAATTCAAATAATTAGGCAAAATGCCGTTGGCCGTATTTTAACAGTTGCTCAGCGACTAAAGAAATTTGCTCTATTATTTTACATTCACAAATATTGGAGCAATTTTTAATTTTTAGCATATTTTTCAAATTCACTATTAAATGTTGCCACTTTGAACATTTGCATTTCATTTTCATTTCGATGATTGATAGAATTACTTGCGTATTTTACAATTTGCTTGGTCAGCAAAAATATAATCTAATGGATAACATGATAGAAGCCAGTCTAATAGCAATATGCAAGGTGCTAAAAAATTTTTCGATATTAACTTCACTGATACTGATTATTCTACCTCTCATGGTGAAAATGATAAAACTATTCGGATAATTGATTTCCGAAAATCTCAGTGAACTTGTCAGTATGAATCGTTGTAAAAGCTGCAACATCACGAAAAGAGGAAATTAACTTCGTTAAGAAATGACATATTTGAAAGCAATGCAATAAAGGTAAAAGTAACTGGAAAAGTTACATATCACAGGTTTTCAGTTATTATTAACCTTCCTTTAATAGTTCTTTTATAAAGATTTTGGCTAAAGTACCAAAATATCACAAAATAAAAGGGGAAAAAATACCAGCATTTGTTATAACCTCGCGAAAAATCGTTCTTGGACCAAAATTTGACTTGGCTACTTCACCTTTTCTTTTTGTATAAGCAAAAAATAGAAAGCCTGACAACTGGGAAATCGAAAAATGCAACGGTCCACTGGTTAATTCAGGGCCAAGTGTCTCGTTATACTGCATTCGAGAATCAAAGTTGACAAAATGCAGACTTTAAGCATACATTACTGAGTTCATTTCTTTCCAGTTCAGCTTCCTTACCTATCACCTTCCTTACCTATCACCTTTGGCCACAGTAACGACATCGAAATCCTTCTAAATGGAAAATAACGTTACCGCGAACTGGTCCGTATTTTAAATCATATGTATTTTCGGGGAAAATTCTTTGACCAAGTTAAGTAATTTTTCGTGAATGATATTCTATGCAGGAGTAGCAAAGTTAATTTTGTCAAATACGTGAAACATTTTCGCTAAAGTATACACTTTATATCACGTACAAAACGGTATCCCATACCGCAGACAACATGAAGCACGCGTCACGCCACCTCGCTTACGGACGCCACCACAATTTACAGTTGCAACATACCACTACTGTTTCTCTGACTCTCTACTATGCGTAAACGGTCTCTCATCGCCTGATTCTCTGCAAAAGCGCCTTCTTTCTCAGTATTTCCTATTCTCACTTTGAGTTGCAGCTCATTCGGTCAGGGTCAGCAAGGAAGGATGAGTAATTCAGTCTGTCAGCAATAAGAAGGTTTAGGGAAGTTGCAGGTTCACGTGAATACATAAATGGGTGGAAAATGTAAGTTTACGTCATGTAAAGTAGAAAACTTTTGCTTATTCGTTGAGTGAAACACAAAATAAAATATAGGTGGAAATGATGGAAGAAACCGGTGAAGAGCTTGCGAATTTGACTCCGATGCGGGTGCGGCAAGACAGCGTACAGTCAACTATTGCTGATTGTAAGTTTTTTATTTTTTATTAGGGTTTTGTTTGGAATTGAAATCTAGGAGTATATAAAAGTTCATCCATACTGCTGTATATGGTGATTGCATAAAATTCTTAGAGATGTTTCTGAACTCTTTTACTGCATCTTTTTAATAGAATGGAAAGAAGAAATCTTTTTCTGTTTGTAAATTTCTACTCATTAACTAGAAAATCGATTCACCCTCGATTTGATCACTTTTTGTTTTAAATAAATGTAAGAAAACAAGAAATATATGTAACTCAACTGTTAAAAATGGTAATTATTATCTGAGTTATGCAGATTTGGCTCATGAAGCGATACGTTCTTCACAGTCAGATCTTTTGGAATCAGATGGTATAATTGATGGAGTTAACGTATCTGCGTATTTTGAACGTCCGAGTACTTCCGCATCAGCTGTTGGAGAAACTAACGACGATTTGGAATTTAATGAGCCACTGGAACGATTCATGCGCAATGAAATTGCCTACAATGAGTTCATGCAAATGACAGGTAATGTAATTGCCTGTAGTGATTACGAATTGATATTTTTTTTCGCCTAATATGATTTTCGTTTGGCTTTTTTATCTTCTTGCAAGCTACTTCACTAATTCGTGGAATACATCGATTAATGGTTACTCTAGCAGCCTTTAGAAGGAAAAGAATTAAACATTTGCAAAACCACTGAGATGACTGTTTTGCATTTCAGTACAGAAGATATATATGCATATAAAACCCGCGCTTATTTGTTTCTTTCTCTTTTTTTCGTACAAAAATTCAGGTATAGTATTTAGTTGGAGATTATCTTCATCGATTCTGCACATAATTTTTTGTTGTAGTTATTTAAGCTTGCTGCTTAAGAAAAATTTTCCAGGTGGTGTTGGATTAGATGAAGAAGAAGCAGATTATGATGTTAGCGAAGGTAAGTGTTTCAAAAATCTAATTGTCTTTTAAGTCAGAATTTTACTAGTGTAGTTCACCCATTCTACTTTTTTTTTTTAAAAAAAAGGGGTTTTTTTACAGGTGCTGTTGAGTGTAATAAAAGATCACGGATTCAATTTGCGTCACAAAGGTTGTTCGTTTTCTTGCAGCGATTTAGTTGTCAAATTAATTTATAAATTAAAGAAGCTAATTTATAAAAGCAGCTGATGTAGGAGGTTTGTTCATCGTCTTGATGAAATCTCAATAAACTGATTGCGAGGTCTTTTCTTTATTATATTTTGTTCAGAGTTAATATCAGCTAGAAGAATTAATCAGCACGAAACCTCCTATGTTTAGTTTTGTGTTACCGTTGATTGCAGTGACAATTTGAAATAATCAGAAAAGCTATTAAACTGTAGCATTTCTGATCGAAAATATAACTTTGCTTTATTGTTTAGCCAAATTGTTGGGATCGACGTTGAAAATGAAGCAGCTGATGATGGATACGATGTATTTGCTGAATCTGAAGAATTACCGAGTACATCATTCACCAATGTTAGTTCATTTCAATTCATTTTTTATTGATGGAAAATGCTCGACTTTTGCTGTATTTTCCTTTCCATCTTTTATTTGCTGCTTCAAAAAATAGGTTTGATGAGAACTTTAAGTGACTCTGTTTGCTTGATACAGATATCATTTTTGCATTTGGATACTTCTTCACTAATTTTATTTTAGGAATCGCCTATTTCAAAAATAGCGCCACACGAACGATCTTTAGAGGAGGTTGATGAAGATCGGTTATTGGGCATACCATTGGAACTCAGAAATAGTGAATCATTTGGTGAAACAGTTCCGGGAGCGAAAGTTGTTGGAATTGGTGGAGAAAGACGAATGAAAACAAACAAGTCATTTTTATGTTTTGACCATGCATGTTCTATTGAAGTCCACAAATGTTATTTTTATTTCCTGATAAAATTGTAAATAATACATATCCTAACAATTAAATTAGTAAATTACTGATGTTAGCTGACAGCGTAAACTTGACTGCTTTTCAGGACTTTGGATGCTTTGATCGGACAGGCAAATGTTATTTACGCGAAGGGACAAACAAAAGAAGCATTAACTATGCTGTTGGAGGTGCTGCAATTTGCTTTTTGTTTTGGTGATAAGAAGATATTCAATATACTTATAATTGACACAGCTTCTAACAAAGACTTGAATTTGTTTGTTCCAATGTCATTTTTTAGGTAATCAGACAAGAACCGCGTAATCCGGAACCATACCGACAGGTAGCTGATATCTACAATGATTTAAATCGGCCTCAAAAATCATTACAGTATGGTTTGTTGGCTGCTCATTTAAACGGTAATCGTACATCTGCTGTAGAGTGGGCAGATTTGGGTGATTATGCTTTGAAATTGAATAAAAATGAAGAAGCTGCTGCATGTTATGGAAGAGGTTAGTATTCGGGATTTTGTCTTGTGTTTCATCTCTCTATTATTATTATGATCATAATGATGATTCATCGCTTAGATGTCACTTTGTTTAAAGCTTCAGATAAAGTCTTCCATCAACTAATTTTTTAAAAGGTTGGAGAAATATCTGAAATTTACTTCGTCATTCTTCCGTATTTTTTATGTGAAACATTTTTCAGCAATACGAGCTGATTCGTCCAATCATTTTTACTATGAAAAAAGGATTGATGCACTTGAGAAAGCTGGGCTCAATGTTCTTGCAATGCGAACACGATTTATGGCAGCGCAGTCAGTTGACAGAGGGCAGGTGGATTTCGAATGGTTTAGGAATATGATAACAATTGTAAGTTGTAGTGAAGAAATGAAACATTAGGATTACTTGTTTTAAACTAAATGATGAAATAATTTTAGAGTTTAATTGTGAGTTTATTTCTAAGAGCAAGAAACCCTGGTTATTACCAAAGAATATACTAAATCAATTGATCGCGGTTGAAATGGTGCGGAATTTTGAGAAATTGATGTTTAAATATTATATTGTAGTTAAATAGGAAGTCTGACATATATAATTTTTAGGCTGCGGATCATTACATCAAAATGAATGATGAAGAAAAAGCAGTAGCAGCGTTAGAAACATTCGTTCTCCGTAGTCGTGAATATAATCGTGATGCCAGTGAACAGCATAAAACTGTCGTCCGTAAGTTTCACTGGTAATTTCTTAATATCATTTTTTTTAGACAGAGAACATGTTTCAGGCTTGCTGATGAATAGCCATCGTTTCGAAGATGCAGCAAAGTCTGTTTTCGCCCTCTGTCCTGGAATTACAGCTCTCGATGATATGGGGCGTTTCGCTGTTGAGGTAAATCGCTTTCTCATGTTGCTTAAGAGATGGTCTCAAGCAAAAAAAAAAACTCACTGGCAGGTTAACTATAAGATTTGTCTGAAGATATACTAGAATTTGATGCTGTCCATGTCCTATATATTATTCCGTTACTATCAATATGTGTGTTATACTGAGCAATTGAACAGGTCCAAAATTGTAGAATGCGGACTTAAATAATGGGATTGTCAAATTTAGATTAAATACAACAATGCAAGTTATACAGTGAAACCATTTCCTCCCGAAAAAGTGCATCGTTTTGTTGTTGGTGAAAGCTTGCCAACAGTTTTCTTGGCGCGTCTCGTCATATGTTTCATCAGACTCGGTCGTAAAGATCTGGCTCCGGTGAGATTTTTAAATGCTTCTTGGATATTATCAATCAATTTGTTTTCAACAATATGTATTTAACAATTCACAGTATTGATTGAATTGGCGAAAATTGCAAAATGTATCTATGTGATTTCAAACAGTTATCCGGATCGACCATTATTTGTAGAGCAAGGTTTAACTATCACGCAAGACCTTATTTCAGATTTATTCAGTAGTGATATGCGATGTTTTTAAATTAAGAATTAGATAAGAAGTATGAAATTAATGCGAGTCATTGCTCAGCTGTATTTCTTGCAGACTATGAGAATCTTAATCGCTCTTGACTCCATTTCGGAAGTTTGGAAATCTTAGACGTTCGAATATAACAATTATAATTTTTACAGAAAAAATGTTAAAACAAAATTTGTGGTATTTACAGACTCTCGTAGACAAGCTTTTTGAAAGGGTTATTCTTCCGCAAGACCAACAAGTCTATTTGGACATAGCACGTGCTTACCATGCTGTCGACTGTGTAGCACACGCCCAAAAATATATGGAACATTTGTTGGCCCGTCCACACTTTCTAGATGTTGCTGAAGCGTGGTACCTCTACGGTCTTTTTCTTTTTGTATGTTTTTTCGTCCATTTTATAGCTCTGAATCAAATTTCAAAAAATCGAGACTTTTTGATTCTGTTTTATATAAGTTTTGGTTGTTTATGTGAGCTTTTTTTACGGAGGGTTTTCCTTTTTTTACTTATTGTAGATGCATAAATAATTTTTAGATTCGTAAAAGATATGAAGAAGCATGTAAAGCTTATCAGCATGCATTGGATTTGCAACCGTCACATGTTGATGCACGTATCAATTATTCAACAATTCAGCAAAGACTGGGTATGGTTGATGAGGCGTTTGAAACCTTGCGTGAGTATGTATTGGATGCTGGAAGTAGTTTACCGGCAAGTTTCTGTTATACGTATATATATATATATATTTGTTCTATGAAATGAGTTTCTTTGTATTATAAGATTTGTTTACCTCGTATATCAGTTTTGCGACACTTTTAAAGTTTCTTTGTCATTTTGGTTATAAATTTTAAATTAGTTTAAATGCTCTTTTTAATTTCATGATTTTAGCTAATTTCAGTTTTAAATTAACTCTAGTATTGCCTTGATCCTTCGAGGATTGTTTTAATGTTTTTTGCAATTGAGCCGTCTTTTTCCACTGCTAAAATATGCTGATTGGCTATTTTTCAATTTATAGGATGAAAGATTGTTAGTACGTCAAGCGGATTTTCTGTTTGAACGCAAACGAATGGATGAATTTGCTCGTTGCGTTCGAATGTTGCTTGCTCCTCATTTTTACGAAATTTACTTGAATAATATGGCTTTGTTAAAGAAGAGATTACCAACGAGCGAAAGAGGAAGTAATTTTTTTTTTTATTTTCTATATTTTTACTATATCATATATTGCGTGAGAACTATTTTTTATTAATAAAATGTGATGGTTCTGAGATAAAATATTAAAAAATCTTGTGCTCAGAAAAAATTGTCATTCACCATTAGGTTTTGAGCAATTTATGGGTAATGATTTCTAGCTGTTTGTCACGGTATTCGTGTACAAGCATTCAACGCAGTGCGTGGTTCAGCATTCGAAAAGTATGTGAAACGTGTAGGACAACTTGCAGCAGCGGAAGAGCGAGCGCCGAGCGAGATTACAAGTACACAGGTAAATTCTGTCTTCTCTTTCGTTATCACGACCAATTTCTATGAAACATCGTGAAGATAACTAACTGGTAAACAAGATGCTTGCAGTGAACAAAATTCAGACTTCCTTCTTTTTTATTTATCAACTATTAAATAGTCAACTTATTTTCTTCATAATCTTTATTTTTTACTTTTCTTATTACACTGTTTGTTTTTTACCCGTAAGATTAAGAAGTGGTTTTATAAGCAATTAACATTATGCATTATCCATTTCTGCAATTTATTTATCATTTTTTGGTGTCCTAATTATCTTCCTTCAAGTTTATCAATTTTCATTTAACATGGATCCTTATTCCAAATTGGCAGGTGTAATTCTGTTATGTATTACGAATCGACTATGATCTCTGTGTCTGAAATCAAATACTTTCATTTTCTAACGAAATATATTCCATTTTCAGCTACATGATTACTGCTTCAAATTATTGGAAACACTGCTGCAGCAAAAGAGGTGCTTGGATGCCTTGCATGTCTGTTGCTTTGCTTATTTACAACCACTCATCAGCAAAAATACTAAGTAAGCGTTCTTTAAAAGGAGCGTTGAAATGATAATTGATTAAGCTTTTAAGTTCCCTGGTTATATACTGTTTTATTTTTCAGGACTATGGAAACATTCCAGAATCTTTTGCTGTACTGTTCAATACGATCACATGTTTGGCCACTGGCATTCGAATATCTGCGATGGTTTCATACACTTTCTGTGGTTAGTTAATTTTCGTAATTTATAAGTACAATTTAACTCTTGGTGAACAAGTAGTATATTAGAATTTGATTTATTTCAGATTGGCTGAAATCGAACATTCTGATAGGATAGAGATTTTTTATTATAAACAATATCATTAGGACTGTCTGCTCAAAATGCAATGTTGTTGGTGATAAATTAGATACTTGGCGAAATTATCTATTATTCTTGAAGAAAATTCAAACTAATTATAGTTACTTTAACTTAATATTTCTCTAATAGTTTGAAATCACGGTTTTTTTCTGTAGAACAATAATCCGCTCTTGTTGCCGTCGGATCGTGACTTGCTTTTGACCCGTATTTTCAATGCTATGAATTTTGTCTTCTGTCATTCTCAGAATGTTAGCTATCACCGATATATAATGAGAGCACTGGCACGCTCTCCAGGCAATTTAGCGCTTCAAATGATTTCTGGAAATAATTCCTTGATTACTGGTGCATATCGTCATGCTCTTGGTAAGTAATGATGGAAGCTTTTTTTGGAAAAGGATTCGAATTTCTGCCTAGAAAAAGAAACAGGAAATAGGATTATGAGTTATTAGAAATGAGTTTTGTCAAGAATACCTTTAAGGCAGTATAGAAAACGAAATTTATTGTAGGTGAATATCTACATGTCTGGAAACTAGTTCCAGATAATCCACTTGTTTGCATGCTTATTGGCCTTACGTTTGTACACATGTCCTGCAAAAAAGATATTTTCAGTCGTCATATGGTAGCACTGAGAGTAAGTTATCTTATCCGCTCAATATTATTTCATTGCTGTTTTATTTTTTGAGAAAATTCGATTGCTTATTTATCATTTTTTCTTTGTTGGTTAAAGAAGACTAGTGAAAGTGAAGTGCTTCAGTAAAAGTCAAAATGTCAAAATCAAGAAGTCAAATCTGTGAAAGTCAGAATGATTCAGATTATACTTTCACATCTCAAGTTAAAATTTGGTAGGAAAAATACAAGAAGATCATTTATACCTGGCATAAAAAATTATCATTGTGTGAAGATCTTTAATGTGGATAATAAGAAGTAAAAAAATAAAATGCATCTCTGCAATCTTTAAAGGGACTGGCATTCATGAATCGTTATCAGCAACTGCGTGGTGATAATCAGGAAACATACTACAACATTGGACGCATGTTTCATCAAATGAACATTTTGCCTTTGGCCATGTATTTTTACGGAAAATGTTTGAAAGTAATATAGTTATTCACATTGTATGTAGGCATATGATTAAATTTTAAACTTTAGCCTACGCAGGAAATTTATGTCTGCCGAGACGAAATGCTTCAAATTTTTTTGAATTAAAAGTATTGAAAAGTTTTGGTTTCAATCTTGCAGATTGATATTCCGAAAGTTGTAGTTACTGATGAAGCTACAGGCGACGAATGTGCAGTGGAAGCTGAAGAGTAAATTTCATTCATTTCTCAATTGTTTTAAGTAGGATTTTTTAAAAAGTACTCAGACTTTCTTGCTATTTAGACTATATTTGAATATTGTCAGAAACAGGTCTTATAATCTTCTAAGTGGATAATAAGAATAAAAACATCTATTGTATGATTCTTTTTTCCATGTACCTTTCTGTTTATTTTATCACACATCCACGGTCAGCGATATCGCATGCAGTCATTTCTTCTTTCTAATTGTATAATTGAATTTAATTTAGGTACGATCTTCGACCAATGGCTGCACATAATTTAGCATTGATCTATTTGGCTAGTGGAAACCATTATGTTGCGAGGAATTTATTAGAAAGATATTGCTGCATAGAATGAAGTTTTATTAAATAAAACTTATTTGACTCTTTCTCGTCTCGATTTTTCGCCTAAATTTGTATTTTATGGATCCATTAACTCATGTTACGTTTGTTTAATGTTGATTTCAAACATCAGCGCAATGAATTTCAAACCATAACATAATAAAATGAAAAAAAAAAATGCAATTGTTGTTATAAATTGATCTGCAACTGTTATTGAATAAGTTCCGATGGTCGAACTTATTCATTGAAATCAATGTACAATGTTGAGTTGATAAAATGTAGAGAAATAAATGGTTGGATTGATTTATGCTCTATCTCGTTGTTAGTTATTAATCTTTGTGTCCATTATTTTATGTTTCGAAGTTGTTTGAAATAAGCTCAAATCAACTTTTCTGAGGTATTATATCATATCGATGATTGTTGATTATAGTAAGTATTGTTTCATTGACGTACGGCAGTGAGGTTATCTGTATGGAGTCTATTATTAGTTTTATTTCAAGGTTTTTTGTGATTTGATTAATAGAGAAGCGAAACATGACTGATGCAGTGGAACATGAATGGGAATTAAATCGCGAAAATATCCGACCGCTCAGAAGTGGCCGAAGGGTCAAATCCTTGAATCGTGTACTTGGTGGTAAGTTTTGTTTATAAATAATAGATTTGATTTAATAAGATATATTTACAAATGGTAAGGCTTGAGGAAAATGTTAAATGTGTCTTTGCTTTTGTTGCAGTTATCTTTGAATTAACATATCGTGTCCGTCATCATGTGAAGGTGCTACATATGTGTAATTTGTGTGGAACAAATTAGCTTTCATGAGTAAGATAAAAACTTTAGTTTTGTAATTTATGCTGATCTTAAATATGGCATTATTAAATATGACATACTATATATGATAAAGATATAACACTATTATTAAGACCAATATCAATCTCAAGGATATACTATAAGTAAATTTATTAAACAACTGATGGTCGAAATTGATGACCAGGTGTCAAAATCACAATAAACGAAGCAGAAAAACGCTTCGAGGACGATTTCAAACAAGCAAAGACATCAGACAACCCATTGGATATATGTTTGCGTTATATAACCTGGTTCGAAGAACACTTCCCAACAGGTTGCAGAACTCATCTAATATTTTGTTCAGTCATAGAATACGAATTTTATAAGTATTAGAACTGCAGATTTTATCTTGAAAACATTTTTCATCGAATTTTGAGTTTCTTTCCATACATGAATTTGTTTTCGAACGAATCGTATATTAACTTTTAGCTGACTGAGATCAATTACTTTCTGTAGTAATGATCACTAGAAACTGGTCACGTTTGTAAATATACGTCTATTGATATCTCTACAATCGATACGCTAAAGTTAAATCTTCAATGTCTTGAACCTCTTTTTCTTTCAAAAAACCTGACAGTACCATATTTAGCGCATCGATTATAGAAATATCAGTAACGTATACATAATTGTCATTTCCGAATGGTGTCCTAATTTTATTCCTTACAAATATTTTTCTAATTTTACAGGAAAGCAGTCACATCTTTTTTCAATACTAACTCGCATAATCAATACTTTTGGATACCGTGAAGAGTTTTTAAATGACGAAAGGATGCTCAAATTTTGGATAAAATTAACGGAAAACAAATCTGATGCGAATGTGGATACATTCTTTGAACGTGCTTATCTTGCCGGATGTTGTCGTCGTTTGGCCAAATTTTATATTAGATGGGCTGAAGTAAGTATAAACACCCTGTAATTTTCCAATAAATTCTCTCTTCCTAATGCAGTGTGATGAAATCTTTCTTTACTGAATTCGTTCTCTATAAAGTTTTCTCAGTTAATTATGCGGGATTATTTTGGAGTTAAAGATGTACGCGGTGGATACGCAATGATAGCTAGCTTCTGGTGTTTCGCATTTTGTAGATTTGTTAGCAGTTGTTATTACTGTTATGGAATCTGTTTATATGGCGTTTCCAGATCCGTGAAAATTCGCATGATATAAATGGAGCACGAATGGTTCTCAAACGTGGTCGAGAACATTGCGCTGAACCGTTATACTTATTAAATGAAGCATCGGATGGCTTGGAAATGCGGCAAATTCGGGCATTGCGAAACTTAAGTGATAGCGAAAATAATTTGATTGGTGAAACTGAATTGACTGTGCAGCGATCAGCACTTGGCCAGCTAGTCGGTAAATGTATTATTTAAATAAATTATTGTAGGTATGCTTCCTGTGAACTCAAAAATGGAATAGTACTTCATACTTTATAATTTATACAAAACGTTTTGAATTTCAGATATGATGAAAAAATTGGTTATTGATTTTCAGGTTTGGGACTGAATCATGAAGCTCCAGTATTTCGAGATACATCTAAAAGGCCAGGTAGTTTGTATCCAGATGTTCGGTCACATCGTTTGGAAGGAACAAAGAAAGAAAATGCTTTTTTAATCTATCAGGTGGAAAATGAAATAAGTTTATTTCTGAACAGATAGAAAAATATCCCAAGTTTCATGTAGTAATTAAAAATCTTGTTTACAAAGTGCACTGTGAAGCATTATTAAATTTTTCTGCGACAGTCTAGAATCATTTGCTGCATCTTTTTCACGTTTAACTATGGTTTTTTTTCATTTTTTTTGCGGGATAAAATGAGGTTTTTCGTAGCAGGCAATGTACAATATTTTACACATCCAGTAGAAATTAGCAAGCAACTACATGAGTGCTTCATCAGTTAATAATTGACTGCAATTCAATTTATTGGAATTCTGGATGCAAATTTTGGGAAGTTCTTCTTTATTCTGTGAATTACAGATACGGAAAGGGAGAGAGCTTTTAACTGTAATTTTAAAAAAGTCTCAATGCAGGGTGAAGAAGCATTTGATGATGAGAATTTGTTGGTACCAAAATGTTTCGGAGATGACTTAGCTCATGTGGCTTTCATAAAGAACAATTGGGACCCCACGAAGTGGACGGATGCACGAATTGACAGCATACCGAAAAAAAATGAAATACATCGGGCCGCTTTTACGGTGATTTGTACTTTTAACGAGAGGATTTAGATTGAATTTATTTTGTTATGTTCTGCTTTTATTGTAAAAAGCGTCTAACATGTAAATTTTCGGCTTTTATAATGCACGGTCCTTTTTTTAAATTCATTTCAAAACTTCAATTATTGTTGGATAAATTTAATATAGGTTTTCGATGAAAACGAAGGAGAGGTGAAGGTTCGAAAGCAATCGAAGAGACATGCACAGTTAATTGTATCAAACAAGGTTAAAAGAAATTCTTTGATAATTTCTTAACTTTTTATGATTGATTTCATGATTGGTAAACTAAATTAAGAGATCATTTTGTTTACTGAACGTTAGAATTTCCGTTTATCTTGAAATAATTTGACTCTCGCGGCAAAATATCCGTACATGCAGTTTAGCAAAAATTTAACCTGGGTGAGAAGTGGGAAGTAAGATGCTGGAAACAGCAATAAGCAATTGTTTTTTTTCAGGTCATTTCAATTGAAGAGCTGTTTGCAGAGCGACTGCACTTGTAACTTTTCATTTTGTTGATTTAAAATTTATACTTTCAATGTAGTACTGGTTACGCTCTGTTTCACTCGTGCTACTTATGTCAGATTTCATTGATTCATGAACAAATTACTGTATATGTTTTACTTCCTTTAGCTGATGATTTTTCATGCCAGGTCAAATAACATTTGCTGGAAAACAACACTCTTTATCCAAGTATTCCTGAAGATATTTTTTCTGAATTTTTTTTTAAATCCGAGACAATAATGAGTTATAAATTGGTGTCTTTCCATTAATAGCTTTGCTTCTTTAGTGGTCCAAGAGTTCAGCTTCAGTTATGTAGTATTGCACTTAAGTAATTGCTGATTTAAAATCAGTTGTAAGTTGTACACAGTCAGTAAATGGTCGTTAGGTTGCTTATTAGCACTAAAGCTGTGGAGATATTTTTTTTTCCAATGTAACAGATTTTTTTCTTTCTTTTAAATACATCCTTTTTTGAACAACACATGAATTCTCTGAAAATATGTTGTCTCGAGAAAGAGTGAGGTGCGAACGACGTAACAGATGATGTTGATTTGATTGTTTGCTATAGTACCAAGGAGAGGATACAAATTTGATTGTTTGCTATGGTACCAAGGAGAAGATGCAGATTTGATTTTCATCTTCATTTATATATGTAGTATTGTGATGTTTCATGACTTTCCATTGAAAAAATTTTTTTTAAGTTCCATGTTAGTTAAACCACATATTGCTTTCCATCAAAATCTAATGATGTATTTAAATTTGAAATAAAATTTTAGAAATCTATTTTTGTTGGAATTTATAGAGTAAGAACAAAATCCCTATCGTATACACTTGGCATTTCCACATTAGTTGGCGGACTACTTGTTTTTTACTATTTGTATAGTCTTTTTATATTTCATTTTCTAACAATTTTAAATAACGATCGTTTCGTACGAATGAATACGCTACTCCCAGTTACTTTGTACGCAATCTTCGTATTAAGAAATGACGGTCTTAGTATGATTCTGATGCTATTTTATTTCAAACAGTCTCTTTGAGCAGAAATTAGGGTTCTAATTTATGGTAGGATGCTAATTCGGACATGCATTATTAAGTAGTTTTTAATTAATATTGCAGTAGAATTCTCTTGATTGTATATATGTTCCAGGCATTATTCATCACCCTAAGTAAATATGAATTGCTGTTCCACTTGTCCGTCAAAATTTGATGTGAAAGAAGAATAAATGCGTTATCGATGCATGAAGGAAATGGATTGTTTACGGTTTTATCTTTTACAGATTCGAAGCAAGCAAGCAAGCGTATTGTTCGTTCCAGCAAGCGTATTCATATGCAAAAATTTCAGCAATTTTTACATATAAAAGTTAATGTAGAATATGTTCGTGTTAGCACTGTTGGAAGATACCGTACGAATTAAGCCTCATCAATTTGGTGAGCCTTTTGAACCGGTAAGCCTTTTTGCACATCAGTCAGAGATAGCATAAATTTACATCAACAGAAAGAGAAGTCCTTGAATAATCTATTCCGCCTCCTTAAATTCCTTGTTTAAAAAATCTTTAAAAGAATCCGGGCAAAAAATTAGAAAATTCCTTCAAATTCGATGAATGCATGGAAGTGATATTGATTTTAATAGAGGACATATGTTCTAAAATAATAATTTGGGTGAATTTACTGAAAGCGATTTGATAGATTAGGGTCATTTATCTTTTCATTATATCGGTGTTACCTTAATCCATTTACATTAATTTGTCCGTATCTGACTTTAAAACAAAATCGAATAAAGCGAAATCTGATGGGATAAATCCAGTGTACAATTAGCAAGATGTATTTTAATAATGTTTTAATTTTTCAGATGTTAATGAAACGTCTGAATGAGCAATTCGCCAATAAAATCGTACCAGGTTTAGGTCTATGTATTATAATCTATGATCTTGTTAATGTTGGTGTTTCTTATATATTACCTGGTGATGGTAGTACACATACAAAAGTTAAGGTAAACTGGACTTTAGTTGCCTTATCTAATATTGGATTTATGAATCAAAAAATTTTCAACTTTTGCAGTTTTCTAATAGTTTCTCAATTGTATTAACATTATTAGAAACGGGTCAATAGGTACCTGAAAATGTTACATTCTACTTCTATTTAAATATATCAATGGGTAAATTCAAAGAAATTCTTCCTTTTTAAACCAACCCCTAATCGATGAATAATTTTGCGTTTTGTATATACATAAGAAATAATGAGAACTACTGAAGAAGTTAAATTGCATAAATTGAAATTCTCAACAAATAATAAATGCTTAACTTATTCGTAGTCAAGATAGATCGTAAGTTCTGGATAGTTTCAGTTTCGTTCTGTTGTATTCCGGCCTTTTATCGATGAAGTTATTGAAGCGAAAGTGTTATCAAGTAATGCCGAAGGATTGGTGCTATCAGTGATATTTTTCGAGGATATATTTATACCGGCGCATCGATTACCACAACCGTCAGTTTTCGAAGAGGAAGAGCAGGTTGAAATTAATTTGTCAGTTGGCAGTACAATGGAAGAAAATGTACAAGCAACAATTACTATTTATTACTTGTGTAAAGGAATGTACAAGTGACAATTTCCTTACAATTACGTTTGTACTGCGGCTTTTCTATGTTTTTTAATATAATAGAAAGAATTTTCTATAATTACAGATTTGGTACTGGGAATATCAACCTGAAGATGGACAATCTGCTAAATTATATATGGATCCTGGTAAAACTGTCCGCTTCCGGGTTATTGAGAATATTTTCAAGTAATTCCTTCTTATTATTAGGAATGTTTACGTTTAAAAGGAGGTTTTTTTTAGAGTTTGCGGTCAGGTTTTATGAATATTTGGTGCCTGAAGAAAACGGCATTGAACTAATGACCATTATCATCAGTTTAAAGCACTTGGAGCACCAGTGATCATGGGTAATGTCTCGGTGCAAACTGCACTATTCAGCCGGTAAACTTATGAAGTAGAGAACCGAGAAGACCTACATCATACATAAGTTAACCAACAGACCAGGGGAAAGGTAAAAGTTCAGGGAATAGTAATTTTGTATTGATATTATAGAGACGTAGATCCTGACAGTGGCCAGGATGAACTGAAGCGAGAAAAATCATATCAAATTGTTGGGTCGATGGCGGAAACCGGATTAGGATGTATATTGTGGTGGGCACCAAGCGAGCAAGATGCCAAGAATGAAGAAGACAAAGGTCAAATGGACGAAGACATGGTGAAAGATGAGGAGGAAGAGTAGAGAGATACACCTGATGACCTGTTAAACCTTTCAGTGATCTGATCACCATATCGAATATAGTTTTTTATCTTGATAAATGGTCTTTTACATTTTATTTATATGTATCAAATTTACCTTTGATATATATACATATATTTAAGAACAAATTCTTGTTAACCACATATAAACGACTCCTCGCCATACTCATACTCCCCATAAATTGCTTAGTAAATGGACACGAGACTTCGAACCGGTTTGGCGCGAGTACAGTTGGGATTTTGTGCTGTAATAGTTGATGGGTAGAGTTTTGGCAAACTTCCCATGAGACGGGAGTAAGTGATAGGTATGGGGTGGGAAGTTGCCTGAGAGTAGTCGTGGTATGGGTTCTTTGCTGGCATCAATTAAGATAATCTGCGTCGTATGTCTATCTCTTTCCTTCTTTGTGAAAGGACGAAACAAATATATATGTATGCTAAAAAGTTTTTATGAAGCGGTTTCAGTTTTTTGCAAAAAAATTCTCATATTTTAAATGAAAGTACGTTGTAATTAGCGCCCTTATGAATTATAAAGTTCCTAAGTTTGATTCCTTTATTCGTGCAAAGAAAGAATGAGATATAGAAAGGTGATAATATTGAAGAGATTTGGGTTAGGATTTATGACATCAATTTTTTTACATATTATTACTTGTGAAGTAACCTTTTGCTTTTCTAGCGTTCTGTTTTAATTTTAGAAATATCTCATTTTACACTTATGCAGATATATAGCAAAATTGCTAAGGAAGGATGTTAGTTTTTGTCATGTAAACGTGTCGGATTTTGTTAATAGGAGCATTAGGAGTTTTGTGTTTTTTTTGCAGAACAATGATGGAATTAGATGTGTTAAGCGCCGATATATCGAAGGCATACGATGATTTACGAACCATTGAGGAATCGATCATTTCATTATCGGGAAAGGAAAGGTGATTTTTTCTACATTTTTCATAAGGTGGGATACGAAAAACTTTTTAAAAATTTTTGAGGGCTAATTTGTTAATTTTTTGAGGACTTAAACGTTGTTATTGCTGTATTATATTCTTTTCCACGTTTTTAATTTTGTTGTAACCAGAGAAAAAAAAGTTTCTTTTTTTCTGAAGTATAACGTAAGCATAAACGTAAGCGTCTTAAGCTTTCTCATTTTGCATCAATCAGTACTAGATAAATATCTATGTAATAATTTCGAATTTAGGTATGTTATTCCTAGTATTTTTGATTTAAGGTTTGGTGCAAACAGAAGACGTATTCAGGATTCTGGTAATCGTCCTAGTAATTATGGATTTGAAAGGTATATATCTTTATACTCTTCATATCGGTTTTGAGTTATTTTATTAGGTTAGAAGTTATATGAAAATCATTTATAGACGTGATACACGCACAGTAAGCTTGGATTCTTCCGGACCGAATAAACGCCGTTTAGTTATATCTGCTGAGAATGAGTAAGTTTTATTGTCATTTAAACTAATACTGTGGCATGAAGATATTTTTTGTAAATTTAGACGGCAAGTTATGAAAGTTCAGAAAATCTGGTTGGATGCATCTAATGCTTCTTTGAAAAGTCCAATCGTTCATTGAGGAGATTATAGGAAGAAATGATTTGCAGTTTATACGAGGGTTCGGATAAGCGGGCACGATATGATGACAGAGAAGATGAGGCTGTGCGACGTACTGTACAGTCATCAGTTGTTATGCCTGCTATTGAAACAAAGTCGCGTAAAGCTGCTATATCGGAGCTGAAAGGAGCAGAAAAAAAGGAAGTTAATGTCAGGTCGGATTTTGCATAATATTTTGTAAAAAAAAAATGCAGAGAGCTTCCACGATTCATTGCTGTTTACAAACAAAGCGGTGAACTGATAAGAACTAAAGTCATGATTATTGGTTTAAAATAATGAAAATAAATCTCTTATGTTTTTTGATAGCGTTTCCAAGGTCTTGAAAAGCTTTTGGGGATTATGCAGGATAAAATTTTTTCCATCTGTTTTATATTCCCTTCAATTTATGAGTTCGGATGAATTTCAATTTTAAATTTAGTATTGCGGTAAAAGAAGTCATTCCTGCATGTGGACATTAAGGATACTCTTGTTCTGGACAGTAGCTAATTTGATAGATTTATGTTTTACCTTACAATATATTTATCCAAAACAAATATGTTTGAAGCGTAGTAGGAATGTTTGAGAAAATTTCGTTTAGGAATCGTCGAATGTTTTCTAATTTATTGCTTGGAACACTGCAACGTTTTCAGATGGAGGAAAAAAAAATATTATCAGTAGAAAAAGTTCAGGTATAATTTTTGATCGATGTGTTTGATTCAGGCTGGATCATATAAGATTTTCAATAATTTACTGTATCTAATTTCCAGGCTGAAAAGCAAAAGGAAGTTGAAAGGCGTTTGCGCGAATCGGAAGAAGAAGAGCGCGAACGATTAGCTCGAGAAAAAGCTGCCTTGCTTGGAAAACGACGTGAAAAAGAACGTTTGATCAAATCATTGCAACGAAGAAAAGCGATTATACAATATGTTAGACAATATCTTTGACGATTATACAATATCTTTCAAAAAAAAAGTTCTACAAAATAAGATCTGCATACCAATTAGCAAATAGCTTCTTATTTTATGTGTCTTTATGGGGAAGTATAAATTAATGATTACTTTTCATGAGTTAGAAATTAATAGTCTTTGATACTTCAGTATTTTACAGTTAATATATTCCTTTTGGATGATGGAATTTTTGGAAAAGGTTGCGAAGTTATTGGCAGACAGAATGTGGCTTTGGTTTTTTAATGGGATGAAAATAAAAAAAAACATTTTCCTAATTTTGTGAGTGAATTTAAGTGGAGCAAACTTCACAAACTTGGGAATACTTTCTAGGGAAGGATGGATTATATGGTTATAGGAAAAATCGAACTGGAAACGTGTTTGACTATCGATTGTTGTGAAATCTCTTTAAAGTAGTTTAGTGCTGCTCTCTAAGTATGGTGTGTTTTAGGCAGAACAAAAGCAGGAGCATTATCGCAAATTGCAAAATTTTATTCAAACTCAGGCGAAGCCGCCGGTATTCTATTTGCCCGCAAAACATACATTACGAACTCTCGAACTGTTGAAAATATCTTCAAAGAAAATCGATGGTAAGTTACCTATGTTTCTAACATAAATAATCAGTAAACTTGCTCTCTACCAGGGAATCAATACTCATGTTGGTGGTATATTTCTAAGATTTTCTGATATGGCTTTGAATTTTCGTTTGCAGAACTTATTGAGCATCGTCGGCAACAAATGGAGACTGATCTGAAAACACCAGAAGAGAAGCAGGTGGATGAGGGGGATTCTGATGGGGAGCGCTCTGAAACTTCAGCAGCTATACGCTCTAATGCAAAAGTGAATGCAGCAAATACAAATAAGCCTTCAGTTAGTGAAATTGATAGCAAAAAGTTGGGTGGCGAACAAGTTAAGGAAAGAGAAGTGGTGGAGGGAGTATCTATGGAATCTTCATTGCGGGTAATTTTCAGCATGCAATGTTTTAATTAATAGCATTCTAAATAGCATTCTTATAAAGGAAAGTAAATCATGACTTCTGGTAAAAATTTTAAAATGTTTCTAAATTTCATATCGAGCAACTTCTCTCGCCTTTACGATTGTTTCTTTTGAAACATTCCATTCTGTTGTAGTTAGAAGTTCTCACATTTGCAAAATTAGCTTTTCAATTTCATGAAATATTTTTGATATTTCACTTGTCTTTTTTTCAGGACTTCGGAGAGGAAGAGTGTGTGAATGGCGACGAAAGAAAAGGACCGAAGCAGCTGGATGAAGACGAACAAGAAACAGGTAAGGATAATAGTCGTAGTGACAGTGAGCCACCAGGGGATGAGGCTGAAATTGATCAGGATGGTGACTCTCATGTTGCATTCGTTGACGAAGATGATTAGTGATACAAAAATTTCGAGTAAGTGTTTTTGTGGAATTGATTTTACAGATGCCCCTAATTTATAATGGGATGATTAAATTAGAAATTCAGTAATAACTAGACGATGATGTATACTTATGGAAGGATTTTATTACTTTTGAAAAGATAATGGCTTTGAAATCAAATATTATACTCTTTGGAAGAGTTTCACTCTTAATGGAAGAGAGAACCTTTCTCTCTCAGTTCTGACTTGAGTTAATAAATGTGAATTTTTGAATGCTGCTCCATAATTTAAAAAACGACAGTACCAGACCTATTTCTGTCCATTTATTCTTTAATTCAGTTTCTTTGTTATGTTAAAATTCAATATTCATAGTAATTTCTTATCCTGATAATATATTTCAGGTTATAGTTTTTTTTCATTTCAACTTCCCTTTCAGCTGTTATTTCTTTACAGCTCAGTAATTTCAATTAATAATACCATCATCATGACATTGGGCATGTGTATTACTGTTGCAGCGTTATGCTTGTTCAGTAAGCACCTTTTGCTTTTTTCCACATAAATTAATTTAAAAAAAGCAAGTGGACATTTGAATTTTTATCTGAGCGACTTATAGCTCAGGTTATTTACGTTGTATTTCTTTTTACTGCTTTTTTTACAAAATTTTCCAGCTTGTTTATGGCATTGTTTTTGTCTAAAATAAAACTTTCTATTGCGGTAACAAGACAGGAAACATAATTTCTAACATAATACTTGTTAATAGAAGATGCTTGGTGATATTTTCTTGGATTTTTAAAAATCCAGAATGAAACGAGTTTTATATTAATCGGTAACTTATAGCATTATTCAAGAAGCTGTAATCAGTTTTATTCATATTTACAAAATTCAAATGTAATGTTGGAATTTCTTCCTGAAACTGGTGCACATTTCATTTGCAAATGAGGACATCAGAAAGAAAAAAAGGAAATCGATAAACGAGAATTGCATTTTAAACTTATGCCAATATTCTGTATTTTGATATGAAATTCGTATGATTAAAAATAATACTATTTAAAAAGGACCAAAATGAATATTGCAATATGTATATTATAGATCACTTGAAGAAAATTTATCTGTTCTACTTGGGTCACAGTTGAGATAGTACAGCTATTGCTAGAAAGGTGGTGAAGTTCTATTTTAGTCGGTCGAATTTATGTTTATACTTTGCAAACGTTCTATTTTTTCCTTTTTCGGTTCCAACAAGACGACGCGGCTGTCATAATTTATACATCATACAATTGCTTCCACAGATTAAAATATATTTGCCTTGTTTTCAAGTAAGAATTAGTCAATCACCTCCTGTTAGTCTGTAAAATCCAGATTTCCGTGATTTTCAGTGGAAACTTTTCCGGCCTGATCTCAGGATGGATAAGATTTGATATGCAATGTGCATGAGTAGTAATACTGGACTTGATTCTTTCTGAAATACAACAATAAATAAATGCTTTCAAAAAATCAGACAGATTAATTCATAGAGGTCATATATGCTTTTCAGAAATCGCGACCGTAAAATTTATTAGCTATGAGGTTGCAAAGTGGAAATATGATAAGTCGGTCTTAAGAAGATCTTGAAATTTTCAATTAATTGTTCGGACAAATTTATTTGTATTTCAGACTAGAAAATTAGGGTGTAGTTTGTACAATGTGGAAAAAAGTAATCATTTTGTCGATGTGTCTGGTGGACCATTGTGTTTTACTATTAATGGCTCTTTTGCTGGTTGTTTTTCGCGAAGTACCTGAACACGCTTTTGTACCACAAACGGTTGCTGTTTCACCTGGAATTAGAAAAAAGGTGAAAAACCTTTAAAGGCTTCCAATGTTTTTCTTAAAATTATGTCTTACTTTTTCTTGCAAAATAATAATGGTGGTGGAGTAATAATGCTTCGAAATATCTGAAGAATTCCTCAAATCCTTTTCTTCAATGTGAATTTTTATAGAATTTCACGTCAGTGAGCGAGTTTTACGCACATTTTTTTGTTCATGCGTAAAAAGAAGGAATAAAATTTAGTGTGAAAATGTGAAAAACAGCCTACTTGATCAATGCTTAAAACACCGCGACGCTTTTTGGGTAATTTAGAGCGAGCTTGCGTGTGAGAATAAAATAGGGCAAAATTGCTAACTATTACCTAAAAGAATAAAAGAATCAATCCGTGTATTAATTTGATATCACAGTGATGTTTTAATAATTTAATGAACGAGTTAAAATATATGACTAATTTATTAACTAATTAGAAAAAAAAAGATCATAATTAACCATCATAATTTTATATATGTAAATGTGAGATAAGTAACGGACAGATAAATTTCAACAACATAATTTTTATCAACTGATGTGGTTAATTTTTAATATTTATGTGAATTTTTATACTTTTATCAGTGTTATTACAATTGTTTTCACTCATTCCCTCATTAATGAGTCAAATATCAATGTTTCTATTGTTAATTAATGCTGATAATAATATTATTATATAATATTTACAGGAACAGGTAATGCAATAGTTAAAACACCGGCAAGTGCACATGCTGAACCAATAATACGTCCCAAATATGTATGAGGGGTCAT